TCACACGACAGGACAGGCACATGTTGTGGCCAGGGAGGATCTTAGGGTAAAAGGCTCGTTCTGTGTCTGAACAGGCCTTTCCCTGCCCTTCCAAGCATAGAGAAACACCTGGGAGACCCATAGCTTTGGTGTTGCTGGGCATGGGACCCAAAGGGTTCGTGTGAACGCGGCGAAATTAATCTAGAGTGTATCTCTAAAAACAGACAGGCGATCTAGTCAACGCTAAGACACTTTCGCGTCCTGTTAGAGAAAAGCACAATGAAAGAAAGGCATCTTGAAGCTGCAGTCCTTTACCCGCTTACCTGGGAGTAAATCCCATTTAATTCAGCGAGCTTGACTAGGCAAGTATAAGATTGCTCTCACGATTTCTATTAATGCGCCTGCAGCGCATTCCCTTGAATGGGGTTCAGTCCCATATAAGAAGTGTGCATGGGACTGCAACATGAACATGCTGTTAAATTTGTTTGGATCATGCCCACTCGGTGTATCTTTCACTACGGGGGAGGGGGAGCGTAGTATTTCTGTGTTGTTGGGTTGATAATATATATCATAGTCATCTGTGTCTCTCTCCGGTAAGGATAGGCACGGAGTCTCCCAGCTGACAGATGTTTGTCTGGAATAACATAAGGACGTGAGCGTCTAAAACAAACATAAATAAACGTATAGGTGCCTGCAGTTCTTAGAGCCATCGTATAATTATAGAGACGATGCTTTCCACGGAGTTAGGTTTTCTTCCACCGCCACCCCAGAACATGGTCGTGAGAATGCGTAACTTTCAGTGCCTTTTGGGGTAGGAGGGGATAGGGAACCCAATTATTCTCCAAGAAAAAAAATGAACAAGCAAACACTCATCCTCAAATTTCTCCTTCGGAAGGCCTTTTTGGGCTGCGAAACCGACACCTTCCTTTCTCACCCAGAGACCTGCAGCCCGATCCTATGCGCGGTAACTCTGAAGTAAGCCCCCAAGGTGTTCAAATAGGCTAGAAATACAAAGGGCATGTTTCTTAAGCACTTGAATACGTGCCGAGATTCTGCGGGTTCCCTCTTTAAAAATAAATGAATAAATATCCTGCTCCATCCAGGTAAAATAGAAATTGGGGGGGGGGGGAGGAGTGAAGAGAACTAAGGCACCCTCTTCTGTCAATGTCTGGATGTTTAAAAGGAGCCCTTTCCTCCCTCCCTCCCCCCCCAAACCCCTTTTGCTAATAAGCAAAAGTAGAAAAAGGCTTCCTCGCAGAATATATCTTTATACTAACGCATATTAAATTGCCCTGTCTTGACTGGGCATATCAAACAATTTAATTAGAGGGCTTTCTACCCAAAGGAAGAAGAAAAGAGGGTGTGGAAGAGGTGTATGTGCGTGTGTTTGTGCATTTGTGTGAGTGCGAGTGTGGAATCTGCCCAGCATTTTATTGTATTTAGCAGGAATACAGGCAGAAAATGTAGCACAAGTTTGTGTCTGAAAGAGCACCTCCATGCCCATTGAAAGGCACTGATCCGAAAAGACAGAGAGGACAAGAAAAATCGATTGCCCGGGACCTTCTTCGTCCCTTTCATACCATTCAAACACCCCCTCCCACTATTCCCCCTAAGACAAAAAAAAAAAAAACCTCGGCCAGTTCCTTGGAAAAACTGGAGTGTGGGGTGGGAGAGAGAGAGAGAGAGAGAGAGAGAGAGAGAGAGAGAGAGAGAAGGACAGAGGGGAAGGAAGGATCTTAAACGCAATACTTTGGTGGTTCCATCGTATTACTCTTATGTGACTGGGATTTTAAAGTGTGTGTGTGTGTGTGTGTGTGTGTGTGTGTGTGTGTGTGAAATCCGATTCATGCTTTGTTCTGCTTTTTGGGTAAGGGGGGGCAGGAGCATTCACTCTGGGTGTAGGGAGACCGGCATGCTTTTTTAGGGTTAAAATAGTCTTCACCTCTGACCTCTCCATTGCAAAAGCCTCAGATATCCTCATAACTTCAGTCAAACTTTGGAAAGGCTGATCTGCAAGGAGGCAGGAGGTGGGGGGGGTAATGCTGAGGCTGGAGACTGAATCCATTTGTAGCTGGTGGAATTCTCTTCTTTAAATGCCCCCCCTCCTGCCCCAAATCTTTCCTCTCCGCTTTCCCTTCTTCTCACAACACAGAAGGGGAGACGTGTGTCTGAAGGTTTTCTGAAAGGGACGTCCTTTGAAAGGTATTGATAATTATATCAGCAGCGAAAACAAGAGGAACTGTAATTCTATTACATACAAGCAAACCCTAAGAGACCCTAAGAAGAATTAAATATAGTTTTAGGGGGGTTCCTCTTTTGGGAAGATTGCCCTGGGTCGAAGGATTTAGGGGTGTGTTTTGATAGAAGGTGTCCCCGCCAGAACCATCATCAAAATCCATCCGACTGGGATGAGTCTCAATCATTCGAAGGCATTCCCAGGAAATGGTTTTTTGTTTTTTTACAGGCCTATAATCTAAGGTCATTAATGACCTGTAGAAAATGAGTCACCTTCCCCCCGTCCCCCCCCCTCTGATCAATACCCTGTCTTTCCTCTCCCCCCACCCTCGCCAAGCAAACCTCCTCGGTGGACGTAATTAAACTTGCTTCTCTAGTTTTTCATCATTGTTTGAGGTGGGCCAAACCCATTTGTAAATTTCATTAGCCCTGTAAACATGCAATTAACGCTGGAGGAGGTGGTGGAGTTAATTGCAGAAGCATCTTTTAAAGGCCGGGAGTGGGGAATCTAAGAAATTAGCAGAAGGAAAGGAAAGGTATGATCCTTTTGTCACCTGTGACATTTATTCACAGTACGGGTTTTTCCCAGGTACCTTCGGTGATATTCCAGCACACACGCACATTCCCCTCTCATTATTAAATTAAGTGCATTCCCCATATATTTTTCTTCTTTTTGTAAAAGCTCAGCTAAGTAAACGAAATTTGTGGCCGCTTGTAATTTTTAAACAACAACAATCTGTTCAGACTGAATCCCTCCCACCCACACTTTGTGCAAAATGAAGAACAATTCTAGGGGCAACCCCAGAAGCAGTTTTCGGGGGAGACTTCAAAAGGTGCTTTTCCTTCCCCATTGTGGTGGTGGGGGTGTCTGTATTAACACAAGGGGAGGTTATCTTTGTTGGTATTTTTGTTTCATTTAAATTAGCACCAAGTCTGAAAAGCACATAAAGGACCTCAAATATTTGTGGGTCGCTTTTAACGCTCCAGATCGAGGGGATCCTATGATAAGAGAGTGAAGGAGAAAAGTGGGGGGGGGAGGAAGTTCCGGATTTATAACTCTTCGAACTTTTTGCCCCGGCTCATTCTGTTTCGCCCAAGACCCCACCCCCAATCCATTTGGTGTGTTTTTTTTTATATACCTCTCTTTTCCTTCATTGCCTGAAAAGCTAATACTCTCTGAAGTCCTACTAACCCCGATTTCTGATGACTTTCCGCTTTGGAAGTCCATCTCTACCAATACGTGCATTAATTTGGAAGGCGCATTCCTCTCTCTCTCTCTCTCTCTCTCTCTCTCTCTCTCCTCTTTTCCAATCGGGGGAGGGGTGTGTGTGTGTGTGTGTGTGTGTGTGTGTGTGTCTGTGTGTGTGTGTCTGTGTGTGTTCCAAAGTGTCTTCTTTCCAGCCCCAAACAAGGTGCAACGAGGCGTTCTTCCTTCTAAGGAATGAGAAGATAGATATCTGCTACCTTAACGTTTGGGTGGGGGCCCTTTCCCTCCCCCCTTTTTTTTTCTTAAAGGCGAGGCGCGCATTCTTCAACCGCTGTGAAGCAAACTCCCCCTCGGACCCGCTCTGTTTAAACTTAAGAGTGTGCATATATAGGATATTATTATTATTATTATTATTATTATTATTATTATTATCCTTTCTCCTCCCTGCCGCCTGTTCCAAGGCTCCACGCTCAAAATACACAGGGGGGCAAAACACATTCCTTTATAGATTGAGAAAGATCTTATCCTTTCGTCGCTCTTTTTCTTTTTTTCTTTTTCGTTCGCTGATCCCTTCAGGTTCTCCCCCACCCCCACCCCCAATAGTAACCACCCCTCGCTCTCCTTTCCAAAATCAGTTTGTACAATCGCTAAGATAAATACCAGGGCGATACGTTTTCATTGCCTAAGGGGGGGTTTTCTCCTGCCCAATTTTTTGCCCCCCAAAAAATAATAATTTAAAAGCCATCAGCTGCCAAACAACAGGAAGAAGATGCAAGCGATCTGGGATCTTGAACAAGGCAAATATGTTTTGGGTATGTTTCATTCTCTTTTTTAAATTTCTCTCTCTCTCTCTTTCCCCTTCTCCTTGCGACCTGGTTTGTGGCCGTGCGGGTCTCTCTCCCCCTCTCTCATTCCTTACTTATTTCATTTTAAAGGCTGAAATCCGAAGCGCAAAAGTAATGCCCTGCGTTAAAATTCAGAGAACTTCCCCCGCACCCCCGAAGTCAATGGTTTGAGGGTCGGGGACGAAAACTCTGCTTTCAAAGGTTACGTGGGGAGGGCGGGATTTGTGCCGGGAGGGTGGGGGGGGGACAATGTGTGTGTGTGTGTGTGTGTGTGTGTGTGTGTGTGTGTGGACTTTACATCAACTACTAATTGAGAGAAAGGTCCCTGTGTGTGTGTGGGTGTATGTCGTGAAAAATATGCTTCTCTATAAAGCCCCTTTTCCAGCTATCCAAAGGGTACCCCCCCTTCCAAATCCGGTTCGGATTCGATGATGATGATGCCTCTCTGAGTCAGAACCAGTCTAAAATCCCAAGGTCGTATTGCTGTGGGTATAAGCAATGATTGAAAAGGGGGGAGGAAAAGGGACCTATCTAAGGCAGGGAATAGGAAATGAAACTGCAAGAATTTGTAGCCACGTGCGTTTTTGCTTGGGTTTCTCCCCCCCCCCCCCCACTTCTTCCAGGAGCAAAATCGAGTTTCACGACTAGCCTTCTTTGCTGTCCCCGTTCCGCAGGCTCCGCTTTATCCTTACCCCCTTAAAATCTCTGATGGATGATAAAGTAGAGGTACTCACCATTGCCAGAGGGGATATCTGTTGCCAAATCCAGGTTTCCAGGCGCAAAGTTTTGTTTGTTCCTTTTAATTGTTGGAAGTTGGGGAGTGGGGGGGGGATTAATAATCTTCAGGCTGATGTCACTTAAAAAAAACAAAAAAGCCGCGTGGAAGAGCTCTAGACTTTCCCTAGCGCGAGAAATACGCACGCACGCACATTCACTCGCTCACACTCGCTTCTCCCTATTAGACCGGCGGGGGGATTCCTTATCCATCCTATGTCGCCTCCTCCCTTAAAAAAAAAAAATCACAATTTTCTCGGAAGTTTGCAAGTCCGGAGCACAAAAAGATGTTATTTTATTTTATTTTTAAAATGATATAGCTCCTTAACTGGCAATCCGGAGGAATTAATCATATTATAAACGTACAGAAGTTTAGGAGTTGCTTGCCTCCCCCCGTCTCGCTTTGCCTACGTCCTCCCCCCACGTCCCTTTCCCTTTAAGAGCAGCGTTTCTTTGAAAGTTGGATTTTTTTCAGGCCGATGAAAGACTTACGCTAGGGGGCAGACGCATACTGTACTTCTGGAGTCTTCCAGCCGGTCCTCTTCCTCCTCCCCCCCCCCCCAACCGCCTCACACACACCAATACACACACTTCTGTCCTCTCTTTCTCTCTCCATCTCTCGCTCTCGTAGCATATGTTCTAATTTAGCACTGTAAATTTTTCAGAGGGCCCGACTCTGACAGCCCCTGGTGATTTTCAAAGTACCACAAGCCAGTGGTTAAAAATTACATTGACTTGAAAGTTCAGTGTCGCACAATGGAGGGCCACTTTCCCCCATTCATAGCTCTTCGGATGGAGCTGGGAGGGGGACGCGGGGGGGGGGAGGCAAACAACACAGTGAGCATTCATTGAGTCTTCGCCCCACGTAACCCAGCGGTTTCCCCCCACTGATTTCACTTCAGAGGGTCCAAACTTCGTTGCAAAGAAGCCAGGAAGAACTGAAGGGAGGGTTTCTTGTTGTCATTGTTGTGTTTTACCAAACTCTCCCCATCCCCGCACCTTTCGCCAGGGAAAAATAAAGAGGGGAGATCCCTGCTTCCCCACCTCGCTTAGCCTAACGTTTTCCTTAAAATATTCCACACTTTTTCTATTTAACATCCCGGATCTCCTGATGATTGTACACCTGTTTTAAAAAATGGGAACGTGGATAGGTATTATTAATACCACTATTGCTTCTCCCCAGAAGTTGCAAAATGGACCCTTACTTGCAAGGCAATAAATAAGGTCTGGGATTATAACTGAGCTCTGTAAATTGACAGTTATGGATGATGGATCGGTTTGAGAATCGTTCTCTTTAAGCGATCCTATGTTGCTGTGTAATGTGGGGAGGGGGGGAGAGAGAAAGAGAGAATGAACAGCCAGTCAGCCATGAACTTGCCAACTCCCCACCTCTGCTATTTTTAATAGTTCCATCCTTTGGATGAACAGACGTACACTATCAAAGCATTTGATGTTAGGGCTTGAGTGAGCTCCGTCTATTTTAGTTCTCAGTGATTAGTTGCTTTCTCTTTTTACGATCCTGTAGGAAAACGATTAATACAGAAGGGTCGTTATTTCCCCTTTCGGGTTTTTTAATTTTTATTTTGGTAGTCTTTGCATTCAGCAGAATTATAAGATTTCTTCTGATAAAATAAGATAAGGTGGTGATATATGGGGAGAATTTTCCTTATATAGGCTGCGATCACCTATATATCCTGTATATATCCAGGATATATATTTCCATACTGTGAAAACACACACACACACACACACACACACACATATATATATATATATATATATATATATATATATATAGGAGAGAGATGGAGGGGGGTGTATCAAGGCGCTAGTTCTCTGCAATCCTAGAGGCCGATTATTTCCATCTCTTCTGGATCATAGAGGGCATCTTCCACTGTTTACAGGCGGCCAAGTCCTTCTAATCAATAGAACATTCCACCGCTCGCTTTGAAACTGACCGTATGAAACGGACAATATTGCCAGGCTCCTCACTAGGGCCAGTAACAAGTAGAGTTCATGTTACAACTTTCCTGCCTTCGTCCGTAGCACCTGCAAGCTTAGCAACAGACATTTATTTCTTCAGCAGAAAGGGGTGGGTGGTACGAAGGTGGCAACGTGATAGCGTTGAGCTGATGGAAAGGGTTACAGCTCCAGATCCAGATACTTGTCTCATGTATCTGGGATCCCCATTGTCTCATTTAATATGTGTCTTGGACATACCTTGTGTGTATTTGTGTGTGTGTGTGTGTGTACACAAATACACACACACCCCAAGAAGTCTGTGTGTGCAAGTGCGTGTGCGGGTATATATGAGTTATATAAATATATATACTCTCAGTTTTGAGTCTGTTTCTAGCCTGCCATTTATCATTTTTCTCTTGTCCTTCTCAGCAAATGTATTTCGCTGGAACACTTACTTCTCTGCCTGGAGGTCAGTTTGCCTCTAGATTGCAGCGCGAGAGATCCCACAGCTAGGCGATGACTTAAATTTGTAACCTCGTCTAAGGCTATAAAATTAAATCAAGTTGCAGAGGTTCAAATGTACTTCGCCATGCTTGGGTGTTTTGTTTTGTTCTGAAATTCTCCCCCTTTCCTTCCTGTTAACATAAAAGAGGAAATATGCTTTCTTAAGGGGTGGTGAGAGAGGGGGGAACTTTGGGTCTTTCCAATCCAATGCGAAAAGGCTGTAAATGTGTTTTCTGGGTTTGATTAACTCCATCCTTTTCCTCCCTTTTCCTCTCTGATTTTTCCCCCTTCCTCGCTATCATCACCTTCCTCCTGAGAAGGCATCTGGGTTAGATGTCTCCCCATTTGGGAGTATGTACAGGCGGCCAGGCGTTCTGCGCGTATGTATGCATGTGTGTATTTGTATACTAATTTTTCCCCATTTCTGTTTGGATTCTGGAGCAAAGGGAATGGGTTCTTGGAATGCTAGAGGCTTCAGGGAACAATGAAGTGTGTGGTTAAGTATTCTGAGGTCTGTTACCCTAGCCTCTGATGTGTGCGCCCCTATACATTGATAGATGTCTATCTAATGTATGTGTCGAGCAAGCAGCTTTCAAAAGATTCCTACGCAGTGCCAGCAAATCAGTTTATCTGCATCTTTTCCCCCAACGGGCCAGCCTCCTCTAGAGTGTTAGGAAGGCTGAGACTTCCTAAGCTAAAAATGGGAATTATCTGCATGCTCGAAATCCAGTTTTAACGGCCTCCCTCGCTGCACATCCATGTCAGAAAGTGAGAGCAAGTTAGCGTTTGTGTCCATAGATCTCTCTACAAGACCATCGTGCCAAGGTTCGAGTGTATTCTCTTTCCTTCCTTTTTCTTTTTTAAATGAAGAGGTGTTTCTTTTTAAGAAAAACAGACAAACAATTCTCTGACTTGCGTGTCATCAAGCAATTAAAAGTTCAACCCACCTACCTGTAGAACTTTAATCCGAAATGGGCAGCGTTTGTGTCAATCTGTGTCAGCACCGCTGCGACCCAAGCTGTCTACAGTGCTGCAATGGTCTAATTTCTTTAACCCAGGCACATACAGCTCCCCTAACGCCACTGCTCAGCTGAAATGACCCTTCCCTATAAGAACGAAATTGTTTTTCCCCACCTAAGCTCAGCAACAGTGGCAGGAAGAGGATAGAGCTGTCTCTCTTCCTCAAGCCTCAGCCTTTCACAGGGGGATGGACCGTACTGTTGGTCTCCCAGCAAAAGAGTTCAGAAAGTCCGTCGTCTCACAAAGACCTGTCTAGCATCCTTTAAAAAGAAGTGGTGTCCCGACCTCCACCCACCCTCTCGCATATGTGTGTGTGTGTGTGTCTGTGTGTGCGCGCAAAATCAAGACTCTTTAAAAAAATAAATCATTGCTAGATCCCTCATTCCCATAATAAATAAAATATGTATAATGCTTCTTTTTAAAAGAAAAATTCCCCCTTCAAATCTTACTTTTGTTGCTCTGAGTTTCAAAGCTGGGTGAAAGAAATTGGGGGGGTTACGGAGTGAGAGAAAGAGAGAAGAAGGGGGGAAAGGGAAAGGGCGCGCGGGGGGGGGTGTTGACGAGATAGAAAGGAGCAGCAGCAGAAGAAGAAGCAGCAAAGAACCGAGCTCCCTTTAGGACCTGGCGGACTTCCCGGGGCTCCAGCCATCCCAGCCGTGCACAAGGCTGAACTGCCCAATGAGGGGCGAGGGGAGGTCCGGGAGCTTTTGACCAGTCAAAGGCAGCCTCTTGCCTTATAAGGCGAGCGGTCGCCATGGCAACGTGTGCTAAGTTGCAGCCGTCGTGTCAAAGTTCACTATATAGAGAGCTGGGTGAGCTGATCGCGGAGAAAGCGTTCGCCACTCTCCCCAGCCCCGCTCCTATAAATCGCATTCACTCCTTTAACCCCCCCCCCACTCCACCTACCCACCCACCCTCCTTAGCATATTTGATCACTGGGATTCTCGGTCTCTCTCTCTCTCTTTTTTCCTTGCCTCTCTCTCTCTCTTTTCTCCCTCCCCTCCCTTTTCTTTTTCTTACCCCAGTTTCTCTCTCTCTCTTCTCGCCTTCTCTCTTTCTTCCTTTCGCTGCCCCCTCCCCCTTTACCTTTTTGTGCGCGTGCAAAACCCTCTCTCGCTTGCCCCCATCTCTTCTGCTTGCAAGGAGAGCTCTCTTCCTCTCTCCCCCCTCCAACCCCCAGCGCCAAAGGACCGCTCCAAAATCTCCACTTTTGCATGCATGCAAAAAGAAAAGGGGGGGAAATCTGGTGCATTTTCCTTCTTCTTCTCTCTCTCTGCTTCTGATATTTATTATTAATTCTTATTAATTTCCACCCCTTGCTTTCCCCCACCCACCCAACGACACCCACTCGGGCCCCCGCCTCCCCCTTCCCCCCTCCTGCACTCCTTTTATCCTTCTCCCTAGCTGAGGGGGGCGGGTGGGTCGGGGGGTTCCTGAGCTTGGGGAGAGTTCACTCTTCTCTCGTCTCCCCCCACCGCGCTCTCGCTCTCTTCCTCGCTCGCTCCCTCCCCCCAGCCCTCTCTACCCACCCACCCACCTCCTCCAGTGCCGCCGCCTCCCTCCCTAACCCCCTCCCTCCCTCCCTCCCTCTCTCCCTTCCCTCGCCTCCTCCTCCTCCCCTTATCGCCCCATGTGTTGTGCGAGGAAGCAGCTTTGCTAAAGAGACCCACTTGCGAAAGAAACGGGAGCACCATAAGGCAGCGGCAAGCGGCGGCGGCAGCAGCAGCAGGAGCAGGAGGCGGCGGCTGCGAGCGAGCGAGCGAGCGAGCGAGCCGGAGTAGCCTCGGCAGCAAAGGAGGAGGGGAGGAGGAAAAAAAAAAGAACGAACAAACGAACGAAAGAAAGAAAGAAACGGGGGAAGAAAGAAGCGAGGAAGGAAAGAAAGAAAGAGCTGGGCGAAAGAAGAAGAGCGAGGCACGCCGAGAGAGAGAGGGACGCACCACCGAGCAACCAGGGGGGAACCCGAACCCCCCAAAGGCTCCCTTAGCCTATTTCGCGTGTGTGCGTGTCTCGTGTGTGCGCGCGCGTCCCGTGTGTGCTTTTTTTGTTTGTTTTCTTTGGCCAGGGCTTTTTCTTTTTCTTTTTCTTTTCCCTCCCCCCCTCCCTCCTTCCCTCCCTCCCGTCCTCCTCCTCTCTTCTCCCTCCCTGCCTCCCTGGTTGATGTTTCTACAGCTTCGCCAAACTCCGAGCGGGGCATCCGATCCCAGCACTCCCACCGGCGGCAGCAGCGGGAGGAGGCGGCGGCGCAGCAAGGACGGGGTTCCGGAGCGCCGCGCCGAGCGTGGGATCTTCTGCCGCGGCGCCTTTCGCTCTTCTCCTCCAGCGGCCGCGCGCCGGAGTTGCTGCTGCTGCTGCTGCTGCTGCCGCCGCCGCCGCCGCCGCTGCTACGAGCTTTCCCCCCTCTCTGGCTTTCGATGGCTTTCCTGAATGGCTGACTGCGGGCTTCTCTGGATCTGGCCCCCAGACACCAGCCTCTCCTCCTGCAACTCTGCTCGGCTCCCCGAGAGAGAGGGAGGGGGGCACCTCTGAAGAGAATCGCCTCTCTCTCTCTCTCTCTCTCTCTTCCTCTTTTGTATTTTTGTTGTACTTTTCTCCTTTATTCATTTGCTACCAGACAATCGCCTCCAACCTCTTTGCTCTGTTTCCCCCTTCCTCGTCCCCTCTCTTCTTTCTTCCTCTCTCTCTCTCTTTCCTCGTTCTTGCTCTACTTTTCTTCCCCTCCCCACCCCACTTTGGTGACCCGCATTGCTGACTTTATTTTGGGGGACTGCCCAGCAAGGAAAAAGTGGGGCGCAAGCAAGCAAAGAAAAAAAAAGGACATTAAATTAATTTAAAAAGAAAGGACCAGAGGAGGGTAGAAGAGAAGAAGAAAAAGAAGGGAAACCGCACACAAGCCGAACAACTTCCACAAAAAAGGGAAAAAAAGAAGGGGGGAACAAAAACTCGCCAACGCGAACTGGGGAGGACAGCAAAAGAAAGAGAAAAGAAATAAAAACAAAGGTGGACTAAATTATATATTTATATCTATCTATATCTAGACAGAGAGATAAATAGGTCTCTCTCGCAAGGACGCTTCCTAGCTGAAGAGCTGCGGGCTCAGCCCTCGGAAGAAGCGGATCCGCTGGCAACCGAAAGCTACGGGGGGCGAGCAATTTGGCCAAGGTGTCCCATAGATATGGCAATGGTAGTTGGCACGTGGCGAGACCCGCAGGACGATGTGGCCGGCCCGCAAGGAACGCAGCCTTCGCAAGCGCCCCCTGTGCCGGGACCCCCGACGGGCGCCCCGCACACCCCGCAGACGCCGGGCCAAGGGGGCCCTCCCAGCACGCCCGCGCAGACCAACCAAGGCAGCCAGCAGAGCCAGGGCGAGAAGCAGCAGCAGCAGCAGCACATCGAGTGCGTGGTGTGCGGGGACAAGTCCAGCGGCAAGCACTACGGGCAATTCACGTGTGAAGGCTGCAAGAGTTTCTTCAAGCGCAGCGTCCGCAGGAACCTCAGCTACACGTGCCGCGCCAACCGGAACTGTCCCATTGACCAACATCACCGCAACCAGTGCCAATATTGTCGCCTCAAAAAATGCCTCAAGGTTGGAATGAGACGGGAAGGTATTGGAATTTCATTTGTTTTCCACTTCTCAACCAACCCCGGTGGGGAGGGGAAAGAGGGCGGGAGGTCTCTGGATTTGCGTGCGCATGTAAACAGAGACCAGCGTGGGATGAGGAGGACTAGGACCGTGGATTTTAGAGATGGGTTGCTTTCTGGGATTGCATAGCTTGTGTACATTTCCTCCTCTTTTGGCATGGCCTGGAATGGGGAGTGTGGTGCTGTCCTTGGGAAAGCAGGGTTAGGTGAGTTTAACAGGACAAGGAAACGTGGTGTGGAGTGTGAGAGGCTGGGGTGGGTGGAATGCGTTTCCCTGACGAACATTGGCCCGCTTGTTGATTCCAAGAAAAGCTAGATTCCATTTTTATTTTATTTATTTTTTTCCTCTCAACCCACCAGCCCCAAACACAATGGCTACCACGAAAATGCTGTGCGTTATACCTTAGAATGGATTCGATGGGCTGCAGGGGGGTGGGTTCTGTCCAACGGCGGGGGTCAGAGGCTGGCTGGGATCTTTCTGCTCCTGGCCACCCTTCCACCGCCCGCAGCGATCCGTAGGCACCTCCACTCCCCAAACGACGTGCAAGATAACCTCAGACGTAGCTCTGTAACTTCTCTCCCTTCCCCGCGTGGCTAATCCCAATAATCAATCAATCAGTCAATTGCCAGAGAGGTTCCCTTCGGTTAGAAATTCCGCGAGGCTTCTTCCAAGAATTCCAGGGGCTTTCTCTCCTCCCCAGTCCGGGCGAGAAAGCTCACCCTCGCGCTCTCAAAACACGCGCGCGCGGGGTCCTGTTTGGCCTATGCCCCTGATAATAATCAAGATTTCATTTATATATTATTCCAGTTCTTTTTTCCCCGGGGTTGCGGGTGGGGGGGGGGAGTGGGAGAGAGCGATCGGGGATCTTAAGCACCGGAAGGAAACACACAAATAAATACAGAGTTTAAACCAGGGAGGTTTCTGTGAGCAAGATGGAGCTCGGTGGTGGAAGATTCCGAGAGGGCAAGGAAAGGCGAGCCTGTAGCTTCCTTAATGGCGTTGCGCTCGCCTCCTCCTCCTCCTCTCCCCTCCTCCCAACCTCCGGTGTCTGGCTTATGTTTGGGGGTTAAAGGCTGCCCTCCTTCGCTCTCTGAAACGCTCAGTCTCCACCTTGGGCCACGTTGGAGCCAGATCCAGCCCCTGCAAAATAAAATAAAAAACATTCTCTCGTCCACATTCTCGTCTTCCTTCTCCACCCCCCTCCCTCGGCGCTTTTGTGGGTCTTTCTCTCTTTCATTTTCTCTCTTCTTGTCACCATGTAAATTTATGAACCAAATGAGAGGCCCACTTTCCATAAAAACAGCCGATCCCGGGGTTTTCCAAAGCTTCGCTCCCACCCCCACCTCTGAATGAATGGCGAGGAAATGTAACAATAGGCCGTGCTGTTTGATATTATTTTATTTTATGGACGCGTGTGGCTGCAGTTCTAATCTGATCTCTCTCCTCCTTTGATATAGATTGTGTTGTAGTTTTAAAAAGGAAGCAGCAGCAACTCTCCTTCTTCGGGGAAAGCGGCGTTTGGAAAATATGGGGAGGGGGCCCTTGCCTGCCAGTTTCTCCCTTCAAAAAAAATAAATAGCGATGTGGAGAGAAGATAATTCGAGTATTTTATTTTAATTGTGTTTTGATACGTCTGGCGATTGAATGGAGGGGGCGGAAGAGCCGCTTGTGGTTGTGTTTTGCCCGCTGGCTGTTCGTTTGGCCAAGGAAGGGACATTACTTTTTTTGCCTTCTGCAGCCCCCCTCCCCAAGCTTTTGATCCCTCACCCATCTTTTCTCCCCGACCCACAAAAAAAGTACATTTGGATTGACACCCGCTGACATATTTGCCAAAGTGCTGGTTGCTGTCTTCTCAGCAATTTGGGGAGTGAGAGACCCGGCTTCTCTGCACCTCCTTGACCCTCCTGAGTTTCTTTAATTCACCCTTGAATCTGAGCAAACTCCCCCCCCCCCCCGATTCCAACTCCCCCTCCCAAAAAATAAAAATAAAGTAGCTTTAGATGTGCTAGCTCCAGAAGGGGCTTCCTTAGCAATTCAGATATTAATTGCTGTAGTTTCTTCCTTATTTACTGCAGCCGTCCAGAGGGGCAGAATGCCACCTACTCAGCCGACCCACGGCCAGTTCGCCTTAACCAACGGAGACCCCCTGAACTGCCACTCGTACCTCTCCGGATATATCTCCCTGTTGCTGAGGGCAGAGCCTTACCCGACCTCGCGCTTCGGCAGCCAGTGCATGCAACCCAACAACATTATGGGCATCGAGAACATTTGCGAGCTGGCGGCTCGGATGCTTTTCAGCGCCGTCGAGTGGGCCCGGAATATCCCCTTTTTCCCCGACCTCCAGATCACCGACCAGGTGGCCTTGCTGAGGTTAACCTGGAGTGAGTTGTTTGTCCTCAACGCGGCCCAGTGCTCCATGCCCCTCCACGTCGCCCCGCTCCTGGCTGCCGCCGGCCTGCACGCCTCGCCCATGTCCGCCGACCGAGTTGTAGCCTTTATGGACCACATACGAATCTTCCAAGAACAGGTCGAGAAACTTAAGGCCTTACACGTGGATTCGGCGGAATACAGCTGCTTGAAGGCCATCGTCCTTTTCACCTCAGGTAAGCCACAGGGTGGGGGCTCTGAGGAGAGGGAGGGAGCGAGGAAATCTGAAAGTCTCCCCTGCCCCAACCCAGCTTCCTTGGTTTTTCCGTGAGAAAATTCGGAATTGAACTTGTAACACCGCAACTGGGGGTTTTTTTGGGGGGGGAGGGAGAAGAAATGAGCAGATTACATCTCATCCTGTTTATTGCATGTTTACTCGGAAGTAAGGCCCGCTGCGTCCAGTGTTAGTTCAAGGGTGCCTAGCGTTGAAGCAGAGGAGAGACGATTAATTTCGAGGAGGAAAACCCTCCAAATATTCTGCCTTCAATTTTAATGTAATATGGACAGAATAACTTTTTTATTGAGCCATGTGCAGTCACTATTGGCGAAGGGGGATAAAGACTTTCGCTAAATGTGCAAATAAAATAACCTCTGGGTTGATATAGTTAAAGCATAGCAAGTTGATAAATAACAAGAGTATGCTGGAATCTGATCTTTTTAAATATATATAATAACCAGTGGAATTCTTAACCAAGCAGAAAGCCTACTTCGAAGGAGATAGAAGAATCCTAAAATTAAAGGGATATTGGAGGGTGATATGTGCTGGAGCTCTAACTAGAGTATCCAATAAACAAATCAATCACATTCTGGAAAGGACTGAGGGTGAATAAACTCTCACAGTAGGACCTGGCGGCCTTGGAGCAGATTGCCAAGGGGGAGAAAGTGGGTCGGAACCATGGTCAGAGGGGCTAGATGTATTTTAAATAATAATAATAAGTTGAAGCAAGAATGTGTGTTTGGAATTCAAGTTGCTGCCCCCTATACAAAAACCTAGCAGTAGTGGCAATACTCATGCATAAGAGCAGCGGGGATAAGGAATGTGAAGAAGTGTTGCAACTGTAGTCCCTGAATTGCAACATTATGGGTTTCTGTTTTAACTCCTCTTTAAAGAAAGACAAAAAAGAAATGTATGTTGGAAAAGTGTCACTTAGGCTGCAGTCCTTTATCAGAGTTGGCTGGAAGCAATTCCCATGAAACTCTGTGGAGCTTACTCCTGAGTAGATGTGTAGAGTTGCACTGTTAAACAATCAAAAGTGCCAAAAAAGGGGGGGGTGGAGAGAGAGAGAGATTTCAGTGCCAACTTTCTGCTGCATATAAATAGCGCTACAGTTATAAAACAATAATGGAATGCATGATGAAATCTAATTAGCTGTGGTTCAACCTGGGTGAGTAATATATCTGATATTAACTCTGGAGGCAACATAATTTCAAGACATACTTTCTTTTTAAAAAATTATAATTCATCGGATCAGGCCTCTAACAGTATGCTAGATTCTCAGAATATAAATAGTGATGTGTGTGTGTGTTTATCTTGTAAGTAATGGGGCAGCTTTGGGTAGTGGTCATGTGATGACCATATGAATGGAGGCAGGATCTGTAAAGTAATCACTCATTGGTATATATATAGATATAGATTTATATTTTAAAATATTTTCTTTCATTTTAAAAATACCTTTGATATAAGGAAATAGGCCGAGGCATCAGTAGTTTATGTGGGAAAATTAGGATTTACAATCCAGTCCTTGTTATGTTAAGGGAGGTCTGAGGAAACCAAGTGCCTTTCTGGACATTGTCCAAAATTTAGGTCGTGACCTGAACTTCCTTTTATATATTATTGCTTTCCACAGTTACACCTCCGCCTGCCCCCACCCCCTGGCCAAAAATATTTGTTGCCCACCTAAATTAGTTGGACTCAGAGGTGATCAATTATCAGAGGCAGCACTAGAAAGGAACAGTGTGTGTGTGTGTGTGTGTGTGTGTGTGTGTGTGTGTGTGTCCTCTATTAAAAGGACACATTATTTCCTTCTTGAGGATCTTCTCTGAGCCTCTTAAGGCCTACATATGAACCCCAAACATTTGATTTCAAATCTGGTGTTGTAGTGGGTTGCAGTAGTGTGATTAATATTGTTACCTTTGTGGGGGAAACCTCTCAGCTGTTGTCTAAAGTGCGAAATTTATGACTGTTTGCAAAATGTGGATCTGTATGTAAATTGCCTTCCCAGCTTAGATAAAGCTTCTGTTATCTGATTTTGTGGGGTTATAAAACATGGGGGGAACGGATGCAGGGATTTGTCAGCTAAGACGCCCCAATAGCACTGGAGCTGATGTGTTATTTAGATGTAGAGAATTTTCATATAATATTTACTGGTGCTTTCTATAGAATCTATATCTAGATTCTAATGGCTTTGAAAAATATGCATGTGTTAGTGCTTTGCCCAGCCAGCTAAGGTCACAACCTGAGCAAAGGCAGCTTCTGATTAAAAGGGACCTCATTGTATTTTAGCCTGTCAAAAGTGGGGCAATATATATATCTATATATTAGTGCAAAGCGTGGCAAGAATTCTAAATTGTTTTTAAACAGTTTTTTTTCTTTTTAAAAAATCGTATCTTACAGATGCATTTTTTAAAAAATAAAAAAGTATATATTCGTATGATTGGAAAGAAAGGCGAGGAAAGAAAGGGGAGTGGGAGAGACAGAGAATGAGAAGGGGAGAGAGAGAAACAGCTCTAATGAAGAGAGCGATCAGAGTTTGCTTGGTTGCCTTTGAATAGGCTAAACTGACAAGATCAGTTTTAAAGGACCACTTAAATCACTTTCAAAGACTGAGGGAAACGGCGGTGTCTCCTTTAGGGGGGAATCGCTTTTTGGGTGCGGGGCTCCATTATCCTGAGTTGAGCCAGTTTCTTAACGTGTGTGGGTTTCTGCTGCCTCCTTCTTTTTTATGAAACTCTCTTTTCTGGCCTTTGAGATTAGACTCAGCACGGTTATTTCCCCAATGCGAGCATGTGTGTGTTGTGAGGAAAGACCATGTCTTATCTTTCTCCTTCTCCATACACCCCCGCCGCCAAAAGACTCTCTCCCCCCCCTCCCGCATCCCAATGCAGTGAAAATCTGGTGAGATCACTGAAAGGTTTGGGGCTAATTTTAAAATCAAGACCTCAGGCCAAAATCCTGGCCGGGAGGGGAGACTTCTGGAATATTATTTTTTTTTAAAAAAAAAAAAAAGAGCACGTGCTCCTGTTGAAACCGAAAGAAAGAAAAGGAAGATCCAAACGCGTGTTTACTCAGAGGAAAAATCTTGCTGGACTGGCTCCCTAGGAAGCGTGCAGACAGGACTGCAACATGATTCTCCTCTGTGCTTGGGATTGTAGCTTGAGCAGGGTTTAACTTGGACTGAATCATGTCCTCGCGGTTTATTCGGATGTCCAAGACTTGAACTCAGCGAGCCTGACTTTCAAAAGGGAAAATAAATGCCTGTAGGGTTGGAGGGAGAGATCCGCAGATTTGGGCGCGCACAAGCAGATCGACCCAAAGCACGTTGACCCCCCAAGTTCCGCAGGACTTAAATCGCTAGGAAGCAAGTCTCAAAAGATTTCAAGAGCAGCGTCTATCTTGCAACGCTCACGACTTCATCCTTACAGTTCTTAGCTGTGATTTTATTTACATTATTACTATTGTTTTGATTGCGGGGGGGGGTTGGTTTTTAAACCATTCCAAAGGGGAACTATAACTTGTTTGAGACTGACGACACTTTCCCCCTCCCTTCCCCTCTCTCTTTGAAACCAACTTTCTTCCAGATGCGTGTGGTCTCTCCGACGTAGCCCACGTTGAAAGTTTACAAGAGAAGTCCCAGTGTGCGTTGGAAGAGTACGTAAGGAGTCAATATCCGAACCAGCCTACGCGATTTGGAAAACTGTTGTTACGCCTCCCATCTCTCCGCACCGTCTCTTCCTCAGTCATAGAGCAATTGTTTTTCGTCCGTTTGGTAGGTAAAACCCCCATAGAAACCCTTATCAGGGATATGTTACTGTCTGGAAGCAGTTTTAACTGGCCTTATATGGCCATTCAATAAGGGGAAAAAATGTTGGAGAGAGGAAAAAAAACAAACCCACAGATGAGAGAATTTGAAAAAAAAATAAAATTGGAAATTTTGGAACGGAGGATTTTTGCGAGTGACTTTGGGGTCTGGCGGTTGTTTAAACGTCCTTCAGCTAAGCAAGGATGTTGCATCGTGGCTAAAAATGAAGAGAGAATAATTGGAATGGACTGAATACTAATTAAAAAAAAAAGACTTGTGATATGAACTTTTTACAGACTGAATTAAGAATTCCCCTGTTGTCCAGAAGTTGCTACTTCTTTCTCTCTCTCTCTCTCTCTCTCTCTCTCTCTCTCTCTCTCTCTCGTTGTTTTTTAAAAGAAAAGGGGAAAGGAATTTTTTTCTTTTTTTCTTTTCTCTGGGGTGTTTAACTTGAAACACAATCTCTTGCTAAAAGTGCATTTAAAAGAAATCTGGAGAAAATTAATGGAATGGAAACAAGTCTCTCTCTATCTCTCTATCTCTCTCTCTCTCTTTTCCAAATTATTAATTTGTCCTATGTTGTCTGTGTACCTATAGGGTTTTGTTTGGGGTTTTTTTTTGTATTTTTTCTGGTTCCAAACCAGTTTATTCTGTGGTTCTATAATAATTTTGATATAATCTTGCCTTCATTTTAAAAAAAAAAAACAACTACAACTGTGTATCCTTTTTTAAAAAAAAGTTCTGAAAGAATTAAAACTGTCTCAGAAAGGTTTATGAGAAGAACATAAAGAGAAGGAAAAAAAATTCCCCACAATAGTAGGAAAGATGGAAGCGCACTTACAACTAGTTAGCCAAAATTTAGCTCCAAGCTACGACAGCTATAATTATTGAGATCGAATAAAAGAGAACCACAACTATTCCCCCACCCGCAAGCCCACCTTCCCTTGACTAGGTTTTTATATATATATATCTATTTTAAAGACAAAACATGAATTTTGGAAGGGAATGCGTATTTCTTGGAGGGAGAAGGAATTGTGTCTAAGACACAACACAGTTTTGATGAAAACACACATACACACACGCACACAAAACCACACATAGGGTTTCATCACAAAGTGAACTTTTTTGTAATTTGAATGAAAATTGGGTTCCGCCTAGTTGTCCTAAATTGTTACCAAGTTCCTCTATCTGTTTGTATATTTGCAAGCTCTTTGTATTATAATACTTGTTGATATTTTCCCTTTTTTTAAAGAAAAAAGAAAAAAAAACCATTGAATTCAGCATGACAAAAAAAATAACACTACTGTTGGCACTTATAGATAATGTGGTTGATTCAGTATCTTAGAGTTTACAGTTTTTGTGTTTTAAAGAAAAAAAAAGCTGAAGGGTTTTTTTTTTTAAGTGCAACATTTCTGTATACTGTAAAAGTTATAATAACTGAAAACTGTTTGGTCCAGTCTTTGTGTGTTATATTCCAAGGAAAAATTGAAAGTATTCAGAAATTAAAATATTATTTGATATCTGACACCTTGTATGGCTCTCCTAAATGTCTTGGGGTAAAATATTCCTATTTATTCTTCTGTTGAAGAGGTTTTGGTCCTTGGATAGATAGATAGACTCTGCTTCAAAATCGGCTTGCAACACAATAGGTGTTGTTTGTGTGTGTTTCCTGTAAAATAGATGGTGGTGGTTTGGTGGTGATGGTGAGATGTTCCAGCTTCAGCTCCTGGTTTAATTGTGGCTTCATGAGGTCTCCAACCTGATCCTCAATATGTTTGCCCCCAAATAATTTTCACAACCTGTGCGTAGAGTACATAGGATTACAACCTAAGATGGCAACATTTCCTTTCCTCTTATCCTCTTGATAATTACAAAAAATAATACTAGTAATAATAACTGCAGAGGGGATGGTTAAAAGAGCAATGACCTGTTAATTCTGTCACACTTAAGTGCCTACAAAGAACTGATATACACACGTACACAGAAACACACACATGTATGTATGTATGTATGTATGTATTGTGAGTATATAATCTGGTTCAAGCAAAGTGGCATTATTGAAAATGTAGGTCAGTTGTTTGCTCTGAATCCCAATGTCTGTGACATAGAGAAGAACTCTGGAATTGTTGTGTGCTGGTTGTCACTGAGAGATCTTTTCAACTCAGAAGTGAATTTGCATAGTTTCCTCCCCATTTCTCTTCTTTTAGAGAGCCAAAGATTCTCAGACCATAAGACAGAATGTACAAGTTGTGTGTGTGTTTGTAGGCACCTAGCATTATAAAAGAAGGACTTATAATAATGCATTCTGAGTCTAACTATAATTAGGAATAAGTATGATTGATTCCAAAAGACGCTGCACTTAAGGCTGCAGTCCTATGTTAGGAGCAAGCCCCGCTGAATACAATGGGATTTATCCCGAAGGAAGCACACAGGAGATTGTGCTGTATATAGTAGTGTATTTGGTTCAACCCAACATATTGAGTAAAAGGCCAGATTCCCACTGAAATTATTGGCTCCAGTATCTGTTGCCCTCAAATTACGGTACTCAACAACGCTTCCTCCGTCCCCTCCTACAGTCAACTTTTCTTACTCTCCCTGCGCTTCAGCTCTCCAAAGCAGGTTGACAAAAACTCTGATGTCTTGTGAATTTGAGTGGGAGGAGGGAAGTATAGAGGGTGTACTCAAAACAGCCCCTTGTCCCCTCTTCTAAGGCTTTCTGCCCCCACCCCAGCCACACATTCTGACCCATGCATACATACATACTGAAAGATCCCACCAGTTTGTGAACTACACTCCATCTCTGGCTTGCTTCAGTTCCAGGCATATGGACCAGACATTGTTTTTATTTATTTATTTTCGAGGAATGGGTGTACTCTTTGCGAATGGCTGCAAATGATTATTTTTCCTATGAACCCAAGGCACTTTTGAGATGCATAGATAAATATGCTTGCTGGTTTAGAGAGGAGAGTGATCCTCCGGTTTTAGTGGTGCTTTTCGTGCTGGTTACTGTTTGCTACTCTAAAGGATGTCTATGTCTGTGAATGAACTTAACAGGGGAACTTAACCCTTCTCTAACTTCACCTCGAAGGATGTCCCTCTTTGGCCTGCTTGCTTTCCGTGTGTGGTGGTGTTTGTTCTTAAACAATCGTTTATTGCAAATGTGTTTCCTGGCATATTGCAACTTAATGATGTTCAGCTCCTCAGAAAAGCCATTTCTTGATTTTTCTTCTTCTCTCCCTCTCCCCCCCCCTCCCCGCCAACCTTCAGACATCTGGGCTGTTGCTCAGTTGTTCTTCCTCTATATACCTGTCTCTCTTGGCGTTGCTTTCCCTCCGCTCCCTCGCTTCCCCACGTTCACTTCCTAATCGAGCTTGGACTGGAGAGATGGCGGCAGAAAAGAGCTGAATGTAAAAGGGGTTCAACAAAAACCCAGTTCCAGCCACCACTACCACCACCCCGCCATTCCACTTTCCTTCTTCTCCCTCGGTAAATTTTCCATTCCATTCCCCTTCCCTCTGTCTCTGTCTCCATATATGCATCCATATATTTGGAAAGGCTCCGAGGTGGAGTTGTTTAAAGGCTTTCAGATAGGTGTGAGTTTATGGCATTTAAGGAAAGTTTTTCTTTGCCTGCTGACTTAGAACAAAGGAGCTCCCCCCGAGCAATTGAGCCGGACAAAGGAAGTGGGCCTGGACTCAGAAGGAGTCCTATGTGAAATTGACTAGCTCTTATAAAAAAGCTGCTAAATACGAGCAACTCTTTCTCTTGAAGTGTCCGGAGATTTCCCTCAACCCTCCCTCTCTAGGGTGGTTGGATTTCTTTTAAAAATAAAAATAAATCTGAGTTCTTCCCCTTCCCAGCACCAGTGTTGGAATTATAAGTAAAATTATTAAAGTGACTCTCCACTTAAAGAACAGCAGGGGAAAGAGCCTTTGAAATACGATTGTTATTAATAATGTTATTAAAAGCACATATGGGAGAAGCTCTCTTTCCGCCCACTTCTCTCTCTCTCTCTCTCTCTCTCTCTCTCTCTCTCTCTCTTCACACACACACACACACACACACACACCCCTTCTAATTTTCTCTCTCCTTCGTCCTGCCCTCTAGCAATTAACTTCACTATACTGGACCGGGTGAAGGGAGAGGGGGAATCTTATTCCGAAAGTTAAAGCATAAGGGTTTGGTGGATCGAGCTTGCCTTAGGACAAGACAGGGCGAGGATCGCGCGGAGAATAATGGAGGCTTTGAAACGCACGCCAGCGAGCGGTAGCATACACGCAACTCGCGCGCAGGCCGGTTTAAAAGGTTACTCGCTGCGGATTGCGTTCACTCCGCTTGTCTGACGCTAGATCTCACGCTCTTTCTCGGTTCCCCACCCCCAACCCCGTAGCAATTACTGGAGAGACAGCAGATCGTTCCTCTTAAAGAGTGGATTCGTCCTCCTCAGTGCCTTTTTTTTGCGGGGAGGGGAGGAAATATGTTTGCGGTGTGTGTTTGGGGACGGGGAGTAGATAAAGCGTGTGAAACTATTGCCTTGAAGCTGGGTTGTCCTATTAACTCAGCCAACATGGCGTCTCCCAGAAGTGTACTGCAGAGAGAGAGAGAGAGAGAGAGTGTGTGTCCTGCTAAGCAAAAGGAATCGCGTTGTGATGAGGAGAGAGATCTTTCTCTTCATCCTCGTAATAAGTCAGGAGGAGGCTGGTATTTAAACGCATACACAAGGCTGCAGGCAGCGGGGCACCTCTCTGCAAAAACTCCCAAGCCAGCAATCGAGTCAAGGCAAGTCCAGTGGTTAGCTGTGGATTTAAAGAAGCAAGGATGTGCGCGTTGAAGGGGGGAGATATTACAAACCCTCCACAGCTACACTGTCCAGTTCTCCATCACAGGATTCCGAATACCTAAACTTGTGGTGCTCTCCCTCCCTCCCTCCCCCCCCCCCTATCTCTAGCAGATCTCGAAATAGATAGATTGGGCTTCAAGGTGCTTTTCAGATAGGGTGGCTCACACGTGCATCTATCCCTTGATGTCATGCTCCTAATCCGTGGGTAGAGGAATTCAGTGTGAATAGAATCCGTCCACAACCTCTTGAAATCCATTCTTGGTCACAGGATCACTCACTTCAAATGTGGAATTACTTTGCTTAGTACATTTATACACTTAGGTGGGGAAATCTGTGGACAGGGCTTGAGCGGGTATCTAGGAAATATTTGGAGGAAAATGCCCGCCTTCTCGCCTCTCTTCAATCTAGCATAGGAGTTGGGGGTTGGTTCCCCCACCCGATTCTAGGATAAGGTTTATTTTCCTATCGTCTTCCGTTTGGGGAAGGGACTTAAAAGAGATTTGCTGAGGTGGTCTGGCGTTAGGTATCCGCAGAGGGGCGGACAGACGTGACTGAAGACATCCGTATTGCAAAGGCGAAGGGGTGGGCGGAGAGGGGCTCTCTTTCAGCTTAGGGTACATGTCCGAATCTAAATTACCTGGGAACTCAGCTTGTTTTAAAAGCATCCCCTTCTTAAGCTCCACGACCACTGGAGAAAGGGGGGGGGAGAATCCCTCTGCAGAGCGTTATTTAATTTTTTTAAAAAGAAGTGATGAAGCGTTTTTGTGCTTGTGTGTGTTGTCAATCTCTTAACAAAAGGTGCTCTTTAAAGGAATGGCGTTGGGAGCTTGATCTGCAGCGAGAAACCCAAAAATCAATGAATTATTATTAATATTTTAGGGAAAAGGGGGGGAGAGCGTGTCTTGTCTACATAGAAGAGAGACGGTTCTTGACGAAGATGGAGGCCTTCTTAGAGTCTATTGAAAAGGGAGGATAGGAGTTTACAAGAGGGGAAAAGTGCTTCTGATCATCCCCTCCCTCCGTCCGCATTTTCTCCTCTATCTGTTAAGCTTCCCGCAGCGCGGCTGTCTACTTAATGGCAAATTTTTACCTCGTTGCGGTCATTTTAAAAAACGCTTAGTCCTAGTTGTTTGTTTGTCACAGGAACTTCTAGGTGCCCCCTCCCACCCCCACCCCGTCGCCCCAGTTTAGGAATGAATGTTTTGGTATTTATTTGGAAAGAAGTTTGCGATCCTTCCTGCTTGTCCCTTAGAGTAAACACCACGAAAGAGAACAGTTGCTGAATTTGCGTAAACATGCGTTAAGAGTGTTGTGTTTTATATTTTTTTTTAATTAACAGACTGAGAAAATACGAGCCTGCTATTTAATAAAAGGTGTGGATTTAGAAAAGGCTGCAGAAATTATCTGGGTTGTTTGTTTTTTCAGGGTAGGTTTTTGTTTTTTGTTTTGTTTTGCTTTTGTTTTTTGCACACCAAAGGAAGCAAATGGGGGATATTTCTCTTACACCCCCCCACCCACTTTGCCCCCATCCTTCCCCAACGGAGTGTGTGAAACCTCATCCTGGGGGAAGGGACCCTTTAACTCGAATGTTGGGATGGGGCGAAGCGAGGCCTCTTGAATAAACAGCCCCGCATCAAGAGTGTAAATAACTCTCTGCTTAAGAAGGTGACAGGCTCGGGAGAGAGAGAGGGAGACCCCTGCGTGAGTCTCTTGGAAGGGGATTGGGAGCGAGGGGGGTGGGTGGGGAGAAAGAAAGAAAACGGAGAAGTCGGTTCCTTTTGCACGGAACGGTTATACAGCCCATGAAACGCGGCGCAAGCCCATCGCTTAGCCCTTAGATCTTCCGCTCTTCCCTAATACAAACCAGATCTCCGCTATTGTTTATCATCCGGGCTCGTGCCCGACAAGTTATAAATCGTATTGCCCTTTTGATAACGCAGTTGTAATCAGTTAGCATCGCAGCCGGGCCCAATTGTAAAACTGCCTAATTTAATATGTCAGATGTGCCATTAAAACTTTATATATTTATATACATATGTGCATTCCCTCCCCTTCCATCTCCCTTGCCCATCTCTTCCCTAGGAGTGAAATGTCAACAGTGTTATTGTTGTTGTTGCAGTTGCTATTATTATTATTATTATTATTATTATTATTATTATTATTTGAAATAATGTCTTGGGTTGGAGATGCAGGGCTTTGCTAAGACATCTCTATATTGCTATATTACTATTACTATTACTATTACTATCCATGAGGGATAAGCCCTCCCACTAATGCTTCGGTCTTCGGCACATATGCTTGGGAGTGTCTCCCACGGCTTTGAACTTCGTGAGATTTACTTCGGAATAAGCGTTTTTAGAATGCGGGAAGAGGACATACATGTTTGGCCAAGGAAAGGGACTCTTGTCAGCCCGGGTTTCTTTGAGGAGGGGGAATCACATTTATTGCAAAGGTGCCTTGTGATTAATTGAGCAAACGCCTGGAGAGGGGGGATATTATTTTATTCGGAAAATTCTCTTGCGTTTGCTTGGAAAGTAGAGTTGTGGAAGAAGGCGCTTGGGTTTCAATGGATCTTCTTGGTTGGAGGCGGTTCTCATCCCCCAAATCCATTCTCTCCCCTCCCTTTCTGAACCCCCATTAATATAGTGTGGCGGCGGCAAGAGAAATGAAAGGGTGAATCATAAGGCCTGGTGACTTTTTCGAATGTGTAAAAACACACAGCTTTCTAATTCCCTGGCTTTTCTCTCTTCCCCCCACCTCCTTCTAAAACGTGATGGTGTTTGGGAGATTCGTCTCTGAGGAAGCCTGGAGCCCGGACAACAATCGCGGTCCAAGTTAGCCCCAATTTGGATCAAACTTACAGAGGGTTGATTTTGGTTGACAGAGCGTGTGTGGAGGCTGAACTCCCATAATATGCACTTCTGTTCCTTTATTAGGCTTGGACAACGAACTAATGAGCTTTCCCTCAGAAGATTGTCACTCCTATTTATTTTATTTTCTCCACCCCTCTTCTGAAGAAAACTTGGAGACCGAGGGAATAGACGTTTTTAAAGGTGTGGGAGCTGGAGATAGCTACTGATGCGCGCACACACCAACATCAGGGGGTGGCATTATTAGTAGTAGTAGTATTACTAGACAGCGGGCAAGATCCATCGAAAGTTCAGCACTCGGAATGTCCCATTGATTTGGCTTATGCAGCGCTTCCAAGCATGTTGACACAGGGGTAAGGCTCCTGGAGTTGACCGTGATTCTTACCTCAGGGTGCCAGCGATCCTATATACACTGGGTTTGGTATATTACACATAGCTTTGTTGTCCGGCTCGTCCTTAACGTCCCTTGAAATCTCTCTGCCTTTCTTTGTCTGGATGGTCTTAAAAGCCACCGAGAACAAGTGTCCCGAAGGAATGGCAAAGGTCAGAACATCTCTCTTTTTGCGCCCTGTTGTTGGGTTTCACTAGGATTCCTTAGGTCGATTTCAAGGTAGCTGGCGAAGCAAAACTTCCCCAGCGGACTGGGAAGTTTGGGCAGTTTCTGAGCCCGAAGGATGCCTCGCGGCCCCAAGTTTAAAGAATCTGATAGGAAGATGAGAAACGGGAGGACAGAATGAGAGGAGTGCTGGCTGGTTGGAGGGGAGGGGGGGGGACGGGACGTTGATCCCATCTCTCTGCGAGAAATAGGTGCCCACGGGACTCCATTAACCTACCTGGAAGGCGATTAAAAAGAAAAAGAAAAAAACTAACCTGAGGCAAAGCGGAAATGAAATAAAAATTATATCAAGAGATATAATCGAATTGTTTACAGAACAGAGGCAGTAATACATGTTACCCTCCCCCTCCCTGCGGCTCTTTATTTTCTTTGGATCTCGATTTTTTTTTAATCCTTCCTTTACAAATTTCTGAATATTGTCTTTTGAACTGAGCCCTTTACCTTATTAAGGTGAGCGCGCGCGGGGTGCTTGTGTGTACAGAGGGAAAGAGAGAAGGGGGGGGGGTCGATTGCTGCAATCCTCTTTGAAACACGCTTCGTTTAACTATTTTACACAAGTTTGCTTAGATCCCTGGGGGATTCTTCACTTAGAGAAGGCTGATACTAGAGTTAAAAGCTTGCGAAGTGAGGGAGGGGAGAAAAAAGCAGAGGTTGTGGTGGATCATATCTAAGGGGGGGCTTATCACACGTGGGTGGCAATAATAATAATAATAATAATAATAATAATAATAATAATAATGCTCCATCTGAAATTGAAACAGTGGCCACTCAACTAAGGAGAAATAGGCCAAATTGAAATGAGCAAAGGTATAAATAATATCCTGTAGTCATTTAAGTTACACCCTAACTTTTCCTCTCTTTAGGTCTGATTCTCGGTCTTAGTTTCCCCGCTCGTTTTCTCCTCCAGCAAATTGATGTTAACGTGTGTCTTAGACTTTGCCTGTAATCAGACGCCCCCCTTCCCTCCCTCCTCTATTCTCTCTCCCTCTCTCTCTGAAGCATTTAATAAATGTCTATTAACGCGCTCCAAACCTAAGGTGAATTTACTGTCTCCCGGTTTCCAAACGGTACTAATGATAGATTTATCAACAGGGACTCGCCTCCAAGCGCTGTAAGGGAGACCCGCTCAGCGAATAAGTATGACGAAACACCCAACACCAATATCATTATTTCTACATGGGGGAAAGAACTGGAGGGTGGCGGCGGAGATGTGTCAGGGTATCATCTGAATTAATTAATCGGAATTAAAATCGGGTTGGGGGCAATCCTTTCTGTTTTGGTACCGCGCCTTGGATGCAATCTTCTTTCTTTCTCGTTTTGGAACTGTTGTTTCGGAGCTGAAATTAAGACACACGATCCTGGTTTGGATGGTTTTCTCTTTCTTCCGGGTGCCTTATTGTTGTCCGCCGCCGCCCCCCCCCCCTCCTCGCCCCTGCTTCCCAGGTTGCGGATTAAGTAACAGCCCTCTTCACGTTTCAGACCTGCGAAGAACTCAGTCTTAAATTTCCATGTTGTGTTTTGAGAATATATTTATTGTCTCCCCCCCCCCAAAAAAAAAACACACCCGCGAATAAAATCCATTCAAGACTGGAGTGACCTCGCCTTGATGCGCTTCCGTTTTCTAACTTCTTCCATTCCTGGAAACATTTAAGGAAATGGGGGGTTCGTAAAGATGGAAATGGGGGAAAGAAAAACAAACCACTGGGAAAGGAGGATGAGCCAGCCCAGAGAAAGCCAAATTTGAGACGAAGGGCCGTTGCAGTCTACGGAGCTAAGGCCATGCGCCGGCGATCCACTATGCACATTTACCTGGAAGAAAGTCTCTCTGAAATAATGAGGAGAACCACGAGTAAACGTGCGTGAACCAGACTTTGGAAGGGCCGTAGCGCAGCGGTAGAGCGTCTGCATTGCACCCAGGAGTTCCCAGGTTCATATCCCCGGCATCTCCAGGTACGGCTGGGAGAGCCATTTGTCTAAATCCCTGGAGAGCCGCTGCCAGTCAGTGTAGGCAGCTTTGTATGTGCCTCTGTTCCACCAGACTAGAGGCATATTTACTGAGAAGTAAGCACCTGTCAGCTCAATGACTTTTGTTTCTGAGGAGGCCACCTTCACAAAAACCCCCACCACAGTTGGAATCGACGCATATTTCCTCGGAAGTGAGGTCCATTGAGTTTAATGGGCCTTACTCCGAAGGAACACTGCATAGGTTCGCAGCCTCAAGTCAAAACCACCCTCAGCTGGATTGCGCCCTGTGTGTAGGTATCCTATATATATGGGCGTAGTGTGGATAAAATGAAACAGAACCCGGCTCTCTGGATCCATTGTTACTTTAGGCTGCGATCCTATACACTCTTACTTGCGAATGTGTCCCATTGCACTTGGTGACTTGCTTCTGTGTAAACACGCTGTTTACTACACATCTCTCCCCTCAACGGCATTATCTACAGTTTCCGCCCTTATTCTGGGGAATATTTCATAGGACCCTCTAGGATTTGTGCTGTTGGGTTTCTTAAGCGACAGGTATTCCTAGTTCTTCACAACCGCTGTAAGTCTATGAACCTCGATTCCCTCCAGGAACGATCCCTTCCCAATATTTCATTTCTCTCCACTATCCCTATTTCAGTGTACAACTCTCTCATTCCTGTGCTGGGTATTTATTTTTTATTTATATATATATTTTTAAAAAGAGGTAGCTGTGAACGCATTTTGCACTGTAAATTTCTTATCAAAAGTAAAACCTTGTGAAATCACACCAAGCTCCTTTGCAGTTTTTTTTTTTAATTCTCCTCTAGAAATTTCATTGAGATGTCTCCTGTACTGTGCTTGTCAAGTGATCTTTGTTCCTCTTCAAATAAAGGGCTTTTAAATGGACTTCTGGCTCCCGTTTTGTTGTTGTTGTTGGTTTTTTTTCTTCCCTTTTTTGTCTTCTCTCTTTCTAAACGTTAGAAAATTGTGCCATCTACCAGCTAATCCAAGTACTGTCGCTCTCGGAGACCTCCAAAGACCTCCAAACCCTCACCCTCAATGCAGCCGTGTCAAGGGGGTGGGCCAAGAAGGGGGCCTGGTGATGGAAAAAAAATACAAGGCCGCTCAGGATGCAGAGTTTGTTCTGCTTTTAAAGACATATTTCTTTTCTTTTTATCGTGGGAGTAGGGGAGACAGAAACGTGGAGTGCAAAGACATATAGTCAAGAAGGGAAGAAAATACATTTGATTCCGTTTCTGGAACGAGTCACGGTTGGTGTCCACGGCTACCCCATCTAACCCAGCCCTTTTTAACCAATTTAGCCGGATTTTTAAGACGGACTTGGAGGATGTAGGGAGAAAGATCTAGAAACATATGCAGCTGTTTTTATGTCCGTTGCACATCTCGTTTGGTGCTTGCACCCACATGGAAATAGATTTCTGAGGACCCAGAGAAAGGGTAGCCTATTCTTCATAGATATTTGTTAGTAACACCGTTCCACCCCAATCCCCCCCCCCAAATTCTTTAACTTCGAAATAAAGCTGGCGAAATGATCGTGTGCAGGAAGATGCAAGTAGCCGGCAAGCCTTGCAATCTAACGGTTGCGTTCTAGGACATTGGCTCAGGAGCTGGAGTTTTATGGAAATAGCCATCAAGTCCCCATAAACCGGGGACCTCCTTACAAAAGGGGGCGGGGAGGTGTCTCCCCTGAACCGGACTAGGATTGCATTTTCGTTCGCTTGCTAGTTCGGTGGGGTGGTTCCATTCCCTCCAGGGACAAAAGGAGAACCGAACCCCACACACATACCCCTTTCCTCTTGCCGAAATAAATTTGGATTTTTGTTGTTGTTGCTGCTGCTGCTGCTGCTGCTGCTGCTGCTGTTTCACCTGACTGGGTGGAAAGTGAAAACCTGAGCATCCTTTCCCCCTTCCAACATGAGGCGGATGGGGAGCTGGCCTCCTGAGTTACACACATTAAATTGGAATCTACTTCAAGGAAGGCTGTGCTGCGGGATGCAGTCTCGGAAGGAAATGATCTGTAAAAGCTCGGAGTGAATAAACTGTAACGCAGGCCTCGAAACACCTCCACGTTTGATAAATGTTATTTTATTTTATTGCTGAGGGTGGGGGGGGGAGGGAGAGAAACATTAAGGGAACTATCCAAACGCATTGATTTCAGTGCGCTTACGTTCTCCGGATCGGAATAAATCGAATGTCCCTTGACCCCGGTCCGCTGTCCTCTTACTTTAGAAGCAAGCCGCCCTTATTCAACTTTTACAGAGTAAACAAGTACTGGACCGTAACAAGGAAGTGTCTACAAGGTATGCTCTTAAAAAAAACGGAAAAACCCACACCTTTTAACGGATCAGCAGATACCAGTTCGTATTGCTTCGCAATAATTTTCCCCACACACTCTTGGGTACAGACTAGGTGCTTTTAACATTTATTATCGTGGTGTGTGTGTGTGTGTTTTATGGGGGAGGGGGGATCAGGAACAGATAAATATTTTCTAGGATGCTTCGCACTCTTCCGAATATTGTTCTGTAAAGAACTCCAGCCTCGACCAGGAGATGTTGGCCTTGGAAGCCTAGCATAAATTTCGTCGCTATACGACAACCGAAAGAGAGCAAGGAGTGAGAACCTAACCACTTCTCAGAGGTTAGTCTCGTTGAGCTTAATGAGGCTTACTCTCAGGTAAGTGAGTTTAGGATTGCAGTCTTAGTTGTGGTGTGCAGAAAATCCTGGCTTTGTATATACGATGTCCTTTACCATAACTACTGGTGGACTTTGAGTGGACCTTCTCGGATTCTGCAAACTGGCTCTATAAAATCGCCTCTCTCTGTGCCCCCCCGCCCCCTTTCACCACTGCCCCCCCCGTTTTTCTTTACCGATTTCCTTTCCCAGTAACATCACTACCTACCTCCAGACGCTTGATAGAGCGAAAACTTTTCGAAATCCTACATGGATTGAGAGCGAGTTTTAACCTTTCCACAACTAGGACTGAATTTCTAACAGAAGATGGGCAATGTCCCTCTTCACCTATAAAACAATTAATTTGTATTTCTGATGGCCTATTGATTAATATCTAATACCCCCGCCCCTTCCTTCTAGGGCTGAAAGCATTGAATTTACTCTTTATCGTCAGAAATGGTGCGGCCGGAGGGGGGAACTGTTAATGACATTTTACACATTTCCGAATAATGGGCAAGCAGCATACACTGCCCCTCATATTGGTCTGTGAATCCTTCCGAGAAATTCCAGAACCAGTCTGGAAAGGCTCTCTAATGGTTGTTACTAAATAAAATTTAAAAACACTCAGTGGGCAAGTTCCTTGTTAGGACAGGACTTTCCCCACAGACGTGTGAACGTGTGTGTCCCTCCATAGGTAATGGATCTTAAAAGTTTTCTTTTCGGAAGAATGGAGTCCTTGTATTTTATTGTATTAACTCCACTTAACTAACAGCTAAGAGCCTACCAGCTCTTCCCAAATCATTGCAGCTGTCAGAAGCTACACATTTTTATCTGAACCTGATTCCACCCGCCGCCCCCCCCCTTTCCCCCTTTTTGGTTGCCAGGAGATCACACACACGCGCGCGCTTTCGAGGAAAAACTCTCCCTTCTCCTTCCCTGTCTTTAAGCCAGCGAGAAACCGAAAGAGCTTGAGACCATCCTGTGAGGGAGGCGGTCCATTCCGAAACTGGCAACGTTGGATGCAAAACCGACGTGAAATTGACTAGGTTAGCTCTTCCCCACAGTCTCCTGCGTCTCGGACATCACTGCTATCAGAGGCAAAGCTTCACAGCAGGAGGCTGGAAGGGCATCGCCCTTACACTGTTATTGATTCTTGAAATTACTTTTTTTTTTTTACTACTTTTGCTCTTTCTCTCATTACGATCTGCGACTGGTAAATACTCTTCCGCCCCTCAATACATACACGCACTTCTCCACCCGCTTCTGTTATTTCCCACGTCGCCACCCACGCTTGTTAAACCCTCATTCATTTTATTATTTGGTATTGCCACTCTTCCTAGTCGTGTGGGTAGGGCCCGGACGCGCGCGCGCACATACACACACTCTTTCTGACGTCTTATTTAAAAACAAGAACAGTCCCACATTCACAAGCACCCGCCAGGCCCCATGGAAGTGATAGCCTAGACATCTCAGTTGATTGTGAAGACACAATTCCTGCCCTTTGCTTAGATTTGCCTAACCGAGATTATTTGTTTCGAGGTTTCAGAGGCGTTATGAAAACCGTGCTTAATCCTTCTGTCCCTATAGTCGACACACACCCTTACCCAAAAATCCATATTCGAGATGATGATGATGGTGGTGGTGATGAAGATCACACCCCAACATTCCCCACGTCAGTTCTCTCTTATGAAAAGTGTCCACGTCTCCCTGCTGTTTTCATCTAACTACAAGGGCGATACTCTTTAGATAAAGGTTCGCAACAATGTGTGCATGTGTTTGACAGAGAAAGGAGGGGGAAACCAGGAGCAGAAAGAGATTTCAGATACTCCGGTCTGAAGACTCAGGACCCAGAGAAAAGAAAGTAGACATTGTTCATTTCAAAGGCTTGCTTCTTTCTCTTCAACACCCCCCCACCCCAGTGAAAAAAGGGGGTGGGTGGGATTGTGGGTGGAGTGGCGCGGGGAAGGAAGAGGATCGTTCACAGAACATGGAGACAGCCAGGGGCTCTTTAATCCTCAGACTCTCGTTTACCCCAGGCCTTCTTTAGAAAACAGAGCAGCCACTAAAATACCTCATATTTCCATCTCTCTCTCTCCACTGCCGCACTTGTCTCGCCTATCTTGCCTAGAAGTAAGATGTCCCCATCGCCTCTGGGTCAGGCAGTGATCTCTCTCTCTCTCCAACGTAACAAACAGCCGGGTTAATTTTATCTCATTAGCATTTCCATAGCAGACTTCACACGCAGGATTCTCTCTCTCTCTCTCTCTCTCTCTCTCTCTCACACACACACACACACACACACACGGCCAACAACCTTCTCCTTTCGCAGGTCTGGATTCTCTAGTAACCCCCCAACAGGACCTTTGTTCGTCATTCTCCATCTCTATCATCCCCATTTATACCTTTGCCTCATTCCAACTCTTCCTCTTTACCTCCTTCTAACCCTCCTCTAACCCTCCCAATCTCTCTCTTTCTGCATTTCAAATTCTACCAGTTATCTCTTCTTCTGTCTCCAGTCATTTCTCTCTCTCTTCTTTTTTTTTTATAAAAAAAAACATTGATTAATCTTTTCATGCTTTCCACTGATGGTTTAAAACACACACACACAGAAGCAGAAATGAGGGGGGAGGGGATTTGGTCAACACCAAAATGGCAAAGTTCAGCTTGTGGGGGGGAGACCCCTCCAGCTACCTACAAAGAGGCTGGGGGGGGGGGCTTTGTAATAGCAGAAAGAAACAAAAGTGAAAAGAAAATTGCAGTTGAGTCTCAAGTGTGAGAGTGTGTTTGTGTGTATGTAGATGTGTGTGTGTGTGTGTGTGTGTGTGTGTGTGTTTTAAAGGCTCCTTTGAACTGCCTTTGTGCTGAGTAGGCAAAAAACCTCTTTGGCGATGCCAGTCACGGTTTAAGGAACTTTGAGTTAACCTCTTATATCAAATGAATCTTTTCATTTGGAAACCAATAAATCTCAATCTAAGGGGGCTACCTTTTGTAAAGCCAAGCCTGGGCTTTAGCGGAGGCAAAGGCTGGCAGCTTATTAAAAACAGAAGAGATAAAGTTTGCCTCTGTCCCTCCTACGCCCCCCCCCATATCACCCGGCCATATATATAACACCCACTTGTTGTTGTTTTTTTTAAAAAAGTGGGAAGTTTGTTTGTTTGTTTGTTTGTTTGTTTGTTTGATGATGGTGATGATGATGTTTGTGGAATTGCAACCAGTGGCACAAGGAACCCGGAAGACTTGGACCTTTACTCACAGTGGTAAGCCGATTTACTTCACTATAGTCTTGAACCATCAGGGGTGATTTATGTGTCCGTAAGAAAAACAAGACATGCTTTGGACTGGAATTAGAGGGGTGGAGCTTGAAGGTGCCGGTGTGTGTGTGTGTGTGTGTGTGTGTGTGTGTGAAGAAAGGAATGAGAAAGATGGGTGTCTGGAGAATTAACCGTGCAATCCTATGCATGCCTACTCAGAAGTAAGACTCATTGCGTTCAATGGGGCTCACTCCTCAGTTACGTGCGCGTAGGATTGCAGCCGAACTGTGCTCGCTTTGAGGAGAGAGCAATCAGCTTCTTATTATGAATTGAGTTTGGAGGACCAGTCGTTTTAAAAGAACATTTGAAAAGAAAAGGTGGAAAGATGCTTTAGGAAAAGAATGGGTCCAGTTCTGCGAATTGATTGCCCCTTTCCCTGAAATTGTATACCCCTTGTAATGTGATTGTAAGAATGAGGGGAGGTAATATAGACATACAGACGGATGGATGGGTGCGTTTCCTCCTGTCTGTCTGTCTATTTGGTTTTAAACAAACTAGCGTGTATTTATATCTGCATGTACATTGTGTGTGTGTGTGTGTGTGTGTGTGTGTGTTATTAATTCTGAAATATATACAAGCATATATAAAAGGAAATCTATAATGCACATGCAGGAAATGCTAATTCACACGACCATTAATCTCTCTTATTAAAAAAAAAACCCCAGTACTTCTATGCTTTCTTTCGCTGACATGTAACTCAGTTCTCCTCCTGTCCTTCTCTTTTCTTTCAAGGGGCTGCCCTACCTCTTTCCCTTTTCTCTTTTCTCTTTTTGCCTTCAGCTTGTCTCTATCCAAGAGAGTTATTAATTACTCTTACAAGGCGGGCGATTCTTAACTAATAACAAAGTTGTAAATTGCCACCTTCTCGCCAATATTTCTCATTTGTCAGTCTTGATTGATTTGATTAATATTACACGAGCGGTGGTAGGGGTCGCTTGGAAGCCGGGCTTACGTAATTCGGCAGACTCAGGACTGCTACGAAGAAATCGTCCTCAGTGGACGATGGGGTCCCTATCCACCAACATGCAAGTGTGGATTACATTGGCAAGGGAGGAGGAAGCATATTTGGGGTGGGAGGAGGGAAGTGACGCTATAACCAGATGGACGTGGAAGAACATCAGATGCTGTGTTGGGATACGGGTGTTGAACAAAAATTAAAATGACCCCTGTTCGCCTGTTGATATGAAAGCTGACCAAGGAAGACGCAAGAATGACACAACCCAAGGAGAAAACAAGGGCTACCCAGGTTTGTGATGCAATATTTATAATCAACCCATTGTGGATTCCAGCCCGAGGAAGGGCAGGAAGATGAGAAAAGGCCGCCCCATGTATAATTTCACTTCTCATTTCTCTCTCCCCCCGATTCACAATCTCAACACATCCTAAAAAGTATTTGCCTTTAAACCCATCGAAACCCCTTGAACACCCGGTGGGTGTAAATCGCTTGGAGACGCAGGGCCATTGGGTTCGGCTGGCTTTTGGGCCTGGAAACCAAATTCTGGCTGAAAGTGAGGGTGTGTCAGCTTGGATAATTAAAGAAGGAGTGCCCCCCCCTTCTCCACACAAACACGACCCTCCCTGCCTGGACGCTCTAACAGCGACACCCTCAAAGCGCTCAATCAAACAGGGTGCCCATTTCTTGGCGTATAGATGTCCGGAGACACGCCTCTCCGCGTCTGGGGGTCACCTCGGCCAAGTGGATCTCTCTAATGCACCCAGGCGCATCTGAGCTGCCGATATGCACGCTGGGGGGTGCCTGGCATTTCAGCTAGCAGGCAAGGACTAGCACGCCTGGGTCTCTATATTCACGCGCAGTCTCGCCTTGGGGAAGGCGCGCCACCGCCGCTCCATCAGGATCTCTCCCCGCAAATGCTCTCCCTTGCAATCCATTAATATCTGTTTCCTTCCAAGGCCACTTGAGTTATCCCATCTTAATTATATTAAGTGGAGCAGCAGGACTTGCTAGTACTGAACATGACGTATGAGAAGGGCCGCCTCTTCCATCTTCGATTGTTAATATCTCTCCCATGGCCTCTATCAATATTCGCAAGATAATATGCCTGAAATAAAGGGGGGTGTATTTTATTTCCTCCAAGCGTCACTCTTAAATCTTTTGTACATATATTACAACTCCTTCCTTCTGCTCTATTAAATATTTTACAATTCCTTCCTTCCTCCTCTAGCTTCCCTTTTTAAACCTCTATTAAATATAGTTTTACTCTTTCTTTCTTTCTTTCTTTCTTTCTTTCTTTCTTTCTTCTCTGTTAAATATGGTTTCTCAACTCCTTCCTTCCAAGAGGTAGCATAGGAACACAATTCACTCTCCTGTGACAGTATTTGCACGCCACTGTATATATCTATCTACATATATGCGTGTGCGTAATGCTACTCTTAATTATGACCTGAGACTATTTTAACTCTGAAATGACAGACTCTTGCTAGAGAACGGCTAGATTTGTAGAAGTAAGTAAGAAAATCTCATGTGTGTATACACACACATACAACTGTAGGTATAAAACATTACACACATACCAGCCGGCCAGGGATAGGTACTTTGAAGTCCCATAGTTTTCAAAAAGACAGTTAAACAGGTGTTTTGGTTGTTGTTTCTAAAGTAAACCCTCACTGAAATCCACGAGGTTTTAAAGTGCTTTACTTGACGGAATTATGCTTTATCATCATACATAAGAAAGGCGATCCCTACGAGGGATCAAAAAAGCAAACAAAAAACAACCACCACCCACTCATCGCATTTTCTTACCGCCTTCCTTTCTCTCGCGAGAGCATATCATGCAAAAAAAAACCCCAGTCTCGGGTCATTATGTATATTATGTATATAATCACTCACACATATAGTGGCGTGCAAAAGTTGGCAAAGGATAATACCTCTCGGAAGGAAGAAGGGAAGGATTAAGAAACTATATTTAATATAGGGGAAGGAAGGAAGGCGACAGAATTGGCTATACTGCCATTGGGCCACTTCCTAAACAAAAAGTGTCAAAGGTGTATCTGAATGGTGGACAAAGTGAGGAAGAAGTCGAGGGGCTCTAATAAAGCGTCCCCAATTCCATTTTTGTGCATGTTTACTTGGAAGTAAATCCCATTGTTTTCAATGGAGTTTGCTGCCATGTACAGTGGGAATGTCCAGGGAAATTAAACTTAAGTAGTGGAACGGGATGTGTAGGATGCGAGGGGTGGAATCCTGACACGTTGCCTTTATGCAACATTTCTCATTCTTACGCTACTGTAGGAGATCAGTAAAATGTTCAGTATGTGTGTGAGAGAGAGACAGAATGAATGGGCCCTTGTGGTCCATTTTCTCTCTTTCCCTGACTCTATAGCTCTTGCAAAAGGGGGAGTGGGGACCAAATTAACCTAGATTAAGGCCACCAGACTGCCAACTCTTTATTCCTTAATCTCGATTCTCCCACCCACCCACCCAGCCCAAGACATGCAACCCTCCCTCCCTCCCTTCCCCCCGGATGCACTTAGCTGACAACACCTGTTTCTTCTTTCCCTAGAAACCCAGAGCGGACCTCGTCAATTTCGCGTCTGAAATTGATGACGTCAAGACGGAGCGGTCTAGGCCGGGGAACCGGCTGTGTGTGTGGGCGGGGGAATCAGCTGCTGCGAGCGCTTTCTTCTGCGCGTTCAAGGCTCTGAGCAGGCGCTGTCTAACGAGGAAGGGAGAAGTCAGGCGAGGAGCTCCGTATTTCGCCCCTTCCCCTCTCCTCCCACGAGACTTCGCTTTCCAGCTCTGACACTCCCGCGCGCAATTTTTCCTCGCGCAATTTTGGGTGTTGTTTTACGCCTCTAAACATGCCTGAAGTTTAGCCACAGAAGCAGCAGCAGCAGCAAAACGCCACAGCTAAATGACAAAGGCTAGGGGGCGAATCATCCACCTCCCTTCTTCCCCATTGATGTCCAACAGGGCGCCTCCTTTGCTCTGTATCTTGCAGCAAGCAAAGCCAATTGATACTCCTGGGATTTACAAAGGGAACATTTCTTTCTCGAGATCTTGTACAAGAACTCTCTCATTCTCTCTCATACACACATCTAATATCCACCCCCCCACCCCGCTTCCCCTCTCCTTACTGTGCTTCGCACACATGGTACTCAAAGCAGGCATTCCCAGGCAGGATGAAAGAAACTCTCCAGCACAACCACGGTTACAAGCCCCACACCACCCCTGTTTCATTCCTCCCCCTCCCCGCCAACCCTCAGTTATAGGGGGATGGCAGTTGCAAAGATTCGCGAGCTATCACAATCCTGTGACAAGATGCTGATGGTCATATTTGGCGTACGGGAGTCCAGGGGCGAGGACTCGCCCATTATCTGTGGGATGGTGCTGGCATATTGAACTTTACATTTAAAATTTAAATATATTCAAAATCACCTCCACCACCACCACCATCAAGTCAGGGCCACTGAATCCAATAGTCTTTGTCACCCATCCATTCATTATTATTCTAGTTTCAATTTCGAAAACTAAGCTAAGGCTCCGGTCCTAGGAATTTAGCCTAGGAGCAAGTCCCATTGAACTCAATGGGCCCGATTTGAAAGTAATTATGCATCGATTTGCGCTGTAAAATTATTGAGGGGAAGTAAACGAGTAGGGTGAAAGAGTCCTGTACATGGGTGTATATGGGGGGCGGGGTTGTGGGGTGGACACGCCCATTTTTTCTTGGCCTCGCCCACAGTTGCCCAGAGAATTTTTGGCGGAGAGACTGAACCCGGCTGGGCCCAAGGTATCCCATCCTTTTGCAGTAATGGATGTTAAGTTATGGATCAGATTGGACTGAGGGCAGAAGAGTTCGTCTTTATTTAATCGGTTTAATGACTCGCTACCATAAGGTATGTGCTGATGGCCCTTATACCGTGATAGAGTTGACCCCGGATTAAGCCAATCTTCCCTATGTGCTTTGAACTATATCTCCCATCAGCCCTAGTGGTAGCTGAGGCTGATGGAAGTTGTAGTCTAAAAGCATATGGAGGGCAGACAGCCAGGGAAGGCTGGAGAAAATCAAGACAGAGTATGGTGGATACGTCAGTGCTTACTATCTATGAAAGCTAAAGCAATCTTCCATGTTCAGGAACAGTATACCTCTGAATCCATGAACAACAGAAGGCCAATACTTTCATAGCCGTCTAGTTTTATCAACCAGGACATTCTGTTCTTACGATAATGAAAGGCAGGGGGAGATTGGATTAATCGGAGTGAAGGACAGGTCTAAGCTATTTCAAGAACAATAACAATTGAAATTTCAGCTGAAGCGCTCTCTCTGTCTCCTATCTTATGGGACTTCAAAGAGAAGGATGATTTGGATGCCGGTGGACGCCTCTTCTATTCAGTCCTCTTCCTCTTTGATAGACTTACCTCGAGAGGAACCCTAGCATCCCAGCCATATACCTATGGATGCTGGAATGAAAGAGACAGGCTGCGCAGAAGCTATGAAACAGTCCAAACTACATATTCTAAATCTAATTCTTGAAATCGGAGTGATGCCAATTTCTCAGTGCTGCGAGCTCCTCGTTTTAAGGCACTGCGGTTCATTTATAGTAATAGGCAACTAGGTGAATGAATAACTCTGTTTGGACCAAGAACTTGGCCTTGTGCGCACTTCCTTTAAACCGCCTGTTTTATTCTCAAGTGATAGACCACGGATGAAGTACCCCTGAAGTGATGTATGAGGAAGAGATTGGGGCTACTTTGAGGATTGTTGGAGAAAGTCTTTGATACAAACAAGCTGGGAAATAGAGCAGGACATCGCAAGTTGAGGGAGGAGTTAATCACACACACACTTTGCTTCAAAGAAGCACCAACCACCTTGCTGTAAACAACTCAACACGTTTCAGGGAGTCCCGGAGTCGTGGCTATTGCTCTTGCCTTATTGCCACCAGGACTTGCTCCTAGGCGTCAGTCAGTCCATCAATTTCCTCTCTTCCCCACCGATTATCCCCCGGGTTTTCCAGATTCCAGAAGCAAAAGGAACAGAGAACCTCGTAGCTCTCTAAAGCCTAACCCATTGGGCTTTTCGTGGACTCTCAGTCCACTTCCTTGGCTGCCATGAGACTCTTTCTTCGATCTTCTCCTGCAGCTCTGCTCGTAGATTCCTCCTTTCCAGTTTCTAGGATAGAACATTATCCTTTACCGCGCGGGTTGCTCGGGGTGGGGGGAGACTACTATGTGGCGTGAACTAGGAAGGCCCTGACTCTGGGGCGCGTGGTCCTCTGCGAAAGCCTGGAGGAAATCTCCTCGCTCCCTCCAACGACATATATCTTGCAAAAGGGAGAGAGAAAAATCGCACGACACAACCACGCGTCTGCTATGCAACCCGGAGTCCCCCCTCACATCAGAAACCTCTCCTCTCCTCGGCCTTGAAAAGGAGGGTGCCTTCTCTCCCTACCCACCCCTGACCCATAAATGCAAACCTCCCCTTTCATTGCAGTCCCCGTTGACCTGCCATGGGGAATGGGTCAGCTCCCCCTCCCCTTGCATAGCCCCCACCCGGGAAAAAAGTTTGCAGTGTATCTCCCCCACCCAGTTTAAACAGCCCTCACCTCCACCCTCAGCGACCCTGAGCACCACAGCCTCAGATCTCCAAGGAACAGGCAGTGAGCAGGCTTAAGGGAGAAAAGTATAGAAATCCTGGCGTGTGCATCAAGCTAATGATAGATTTCCCCTCCCCACCCCTCCCTCCCCCTTCTGCGGTGTGTGGGATGGTTTGATATATTCCGGTGCCTGGGATTAATGGTTAAATTTCAGACTGCTTTTTTTTTTATGAAAGCAGTTTCCTCCCCCCCCCTCCTTTCCCTCTCTCTCTAATCCAGGAATCATTAGCAACACCCTCTGGCTACATGTTTTCCACCGCTGAAACATTATGATCGGGTTGTAATACAAATTCCACAGCCTTACTTTGCATCTTTGTGGTAGGAGACGTAACGGCAATAATATTATTTTTTGGGGGGGGATTATTTTTTTCGGTTCTCCCCCGCCCCGCCAACTTTCCCCTCTCTCGCCTACTCTCTCCTTTCTTTCTTTTTTATTTTTATTTTTTATTTTAAGGTCAGACACCCACAGACATTTCTCCCAAGGATTTGGGAGGTGCGCTTGTCTAAAATGATAACAACACAAAGCTTCACACTATCCCCAAATTTCGTGACTGACTGTCTTCTTGTCTATCTCTCTATCTCTATATAGCCCTTTTATATGTACGTGATCAAAGCGTGGCTCTTCAATTCCACCCCCCTCCCGCCTTTTGAATCCTTTGTTATTAAGGAAAGTGGACTCCGCGTATTATGTCCTCTCTAATATTCAAAATTGTAAGACAGAAGTCTTCCTCACTTATCACGGGGGTCCACCTGTCGCAGCTGTTTGGATCTATTGTTCTCAGGGTAGAATCTGTTTAGACTCATTTTTACTCTCACTCCCCACTGCCTCCCCCCTTTATTTTCTTTACCCTGGAAAACACTCTACACGAATTAATGATGGGTGGGAAATATCAAGAAGCCAGGGAAACAACAATATTTTTTAAAACGCATCACAGATGCACAAATGTTTGTACCTTCTTCTGCTCCTCTGCTCAGCATCTTTGAGTTGCTTCACAGATTGTGAAAACGAGGCGTGAGGCTGGAATCAGAAACCTTAGAAACATGCTCTGTTCGAAGCCGCCTCTGCGCCGGGAGACGTAACTTTCCCATTCGGTTCGATAAGTGTGATATAAACAGATAGATGGACTCTAAGAATTTGCTCATAATAAATTGAACCCCAGCCTATGTCTAAAATAAATGGTCTCGAGGAAAATGCTTCCCCGCAAACGTCTGCGGTAACATATGAACGCCTTTGGAATGCTACATATAATTCGCGCTTTTCATAGGATAGCCTTTTTTCATCATCTCCCCCTGCATGTTTCATTTTATGAATATTTATCTTTGTTATTTTGAAAAAATAAACAACAACCACAACCAGAAGTGATGATCATAAATATATTTTCTCCCAAGTTTGTACTGGCCCTCAGACACTGTTTTAAAAATACTGTTATTTATCTCAAACAGATTGTTTTTAAAATATCTCAGTTTATTCGCTAAAGTGTATGGGAGAGATTGCGATCGACAGGCAGATAGAGAATAATCACTGATTTAGAACTTGCCCTTGATTTGATTAGGCAAACGTTTTGGTTTCTGCCTCTGTGTATGGGAAAAACTGAAATGTCCGCCATTGTGGCCAAGAATTAAAATATGAACATAATCCCCTCGCCAATGGCGGTTGAGTCTCTGCCTTGGTTTGATTTTCCTCTGGGCATTCCGCCCCCCCCCCCGGCGTTACTCGATAGCTTTCCTTTCCATTGACTCATAAGGGTGCGTTTGGGTTACCTCCAAACTTTAAAAAATAAATAAATGAATGAATACCGGGGTTTTAAATTATAGGCGAGGTGTGAAAATCTATCCGTTATTGTATAGCTTAAATTCAAACATTGCCGGTTAGGTTACAACTTGTAAGTCTTTGAGAAACCGTACACCCAAGGTTGGTTTTGCGTTTCTTCTCTCTCCCCCCCATCCCCCCCCCCCAGCTTCTTCACACATACACCCACACATTCTGATACTACAGGAGATAGCCAGGAAAGATACAATGTCTCTTCAACTCCGAGCGAAAGGGGCACTTTCAAGTGTCCGATTCTATTAGGTCTCTTTGATTATGAGAGAGAGAGAGAGAGAGAGAGAGAGAGAGAGAGAGAGAGAGAGAGAGAGAGAGTTGCAAATAGCACCGGCATCAAGATCTTCTGGACTTGCAGTTTGCCTTTCAGCGGCAAGGTGGCGCTCCAAGGTGACAGGTTTGGGCGAGAGAGCCCCTTATTAGCATGGTTTCTGCCGCGGAGATTAGGAGAGGGTTACAATTCCATTGGGCAGCTCTGCAAAAAAGACAAGATAGAGCAAACAAACCTTCAAACAGTCTGATTTCTTAAATAAGAAAGAGGCAAAAAGGGGGTGGGGGACTGGCAGGTAGAAATGAGACTTATTCAGGAAAAGTGCAAAGCATGTGTTTTCTCGATACATCATAGATACACACACAGACACACACACACAAACCAGGCTCATTTTAAAAAATGGGGGGAGGTCTTACAAGAGATAAACGTAATTATAAATCAGTGAGTTCGAAAACACGACGAAAGTTATGTTACTGATTTTAACCTAGGCAGCGTCCAGAGCGAGCACAAGGAGAAAGACTGGAGAAGCAAGGCATTAACTCAGGAGACAAGACTCTCTCTTCGTAAGTTTTCGGGGTTCGGAGAGAGATTCAGTTCTCTTCGCTTTTGTGCTACGAGACAGAGGTGATGATGCAGAGGGGGGATTTGTAGAAAACATGCCAATCGCTGCCACGCACCTGCTTCTCCCACTTTCCCTTCCTTTCCTCTCCTAAATTTATTTATTTTTCACTCTCTCTTCCTCCTGGAAACAGAGGCGAAAATGTCTGGGATTTGAAGATCAGACGAGCTCTTTTTTTAAAAAAAAGGGGGGGATGATCAGGCCGTGTTACTGCTTTCTTTCAAATAAAGCAAACAAAGCAGCCAATATCTGGACCTGCAACTTCCTCCAAACCCATATGATCCAGTTTTTAGATTCCTATGCTAAGGTCTTTATTTTCGCTCTCCGTCGACTTAGATTTTATTTTAAAAACAGAGAGAGTGAAAGGAAGCGGTGAGGTTTAGGAACTGTTTCCAAACTGACTAGTTTTAACAACTTTTTCCTTTTGTCCCTAGTCTCTCTTTCTCTCCTCCCGCCCCCCTTAGAAATTTTTTTATGGTGGGGAGTAGAAGTGGAGAAGATGCACTCTTTATCCCTCCCATCTTTCCTTCAAGGACTTTTCCTATTAAAAATCAAGACAAAAATGATTCCTAATTAACCTCCGGTTCGGTATCTCCTCTGTGGATAGGCGTGAGACGCGGCCTAATGGAGCCATCGGTTTCTATGATATTAAAATAGATTTGAAAGGCAGTTCAGAACTATCCTTGCCGTGTTTTGTATCCCCCTTCATTGTGGTCTTCTCAGTTGTGACACCCCACCCCGCAACTTGTGCATTTGGAGCACAAACGATAGATTGAGTTTGGAGATGTTTGTTTTGTTTTAAATACATCTGAACGCAGAGAGCAAAGGAAGATGCTCCAAAGCGCGGCTGAGGCCTTGGAGGATGCGATGCGTCCAAAGGGAAACAGCCGCGATGTTCCTCTCTGGCCTTCCTTCACCATTCATTTCTCCAAGAATTTTATTTGCCCAGCGTGATGAAAAGTGACACTCGCCAAATAGACAGCTTCTGAAAGTAATGAAGTCAGATGTGGCTTTAACCCGACGGTTGGTACAAATAAATGTGAAAACGAGCGGGGAACATTATCTGCTCGCTTAACTAGCAGCTAAAATACAGAGACCGCGCCTGCCCCCCCCCCCCGCATACCATTGTCCCGCCAGGAAAGGATCCGTAGATTTCATTTCAGCGTCTCCCACCCTAAGTAATGACAATGTCCATCGCAGATATTAAGACTCGCCTCTTTCACGTTTCCACAATTTCTAGGAAAGAAGTCGCAAAAGAGAAGTTGGTGTGAATTGCTTTAAAAAAAGAAAGAAAAGCATTTCTTTATTCTTCCCTTCCCCTTCCCCTTCTTTCCTCGTGGAGAATTCCATCGACCCATTTCTCCTTTAATAAAATAATAATTAAAAAAAAAGTCCACGCCCTTCTCACCAAATTGCTGTGAGAAATATTTCCCGATCTGGAAAGAAACCAGCAGCATTATTCCTTCCTCATCGCTCCCAAATGTATCATAACAATCTGGGTGCATTTTATTATTATGCCAATTGCTTGTTGTCATACTTTGGGCAGGAGGTGGAGAAGCCCCCTTCTCCTCCTCCGAAATATTATATATATTATATACATATTATATAGTCCCTTCCTTCCCGCAGATGTAACCAGACAATCGTATTTACTGGGAAAACATTTTGCGAAGTACTTTCTCCCTATCCGCTCCCAGACACTCGCTTACTGTCAGCTGCAAGTGTATTTCTGGGAGAAATCATATTGTGAAGGAAAACGGGAACGTTTGTGGGTTTAAGCTCTGGAGCTACCATCCCAAGGATACATAGACGCCTTCTCTAATTTAGAAGGCTAGTTAGGAAGCGCATTGAGTACAAGATTAACAACAACAACACGAAGAGGAACGACCTTTAGGATACAGGCGCGCTCACAAGTGTTTGTAAACACGGGCCCACCCCCCTTAACGCTGTTCATATTTCAAACTTTTCCTCTGCTTAAAATAAAACGAATAGGAGAGATCAAAGTACGTTTGCATATATAGAAAGGGAGGCGGGTTGGGTGACGGGAAACATATGCTTATTGAGAAATTGTCAATCGGTTGTGCAAAAAGGAGCATGATTTCAACATTAGTCCAAAAATATCCACACCCTAAATCGCAGGAGGTAAAATAGTATCTAGGATTCACCCCCCCCTTTGGTTTTCTCTCTCTCTTCTTGTCTAGATTGCATGTTAATCAAGCGGTGTTTTCTTATCATGTGACGGTAACAAGTCGAAAGCTCTTGGCATTATAAGAAACGTGCTTTCCTCGGTCTCGATAAGATCAGATCTACATGACAAATATAACCTGGTTTGAAACCTGTTTAGCTGTCATGGAAGCCGTTTAGCTGTTCTTGGGGAAAAAGCAACAATTCACTCGGTTGGGGATTGTAGTTTGAACGGTACCCTTGCCCCGAGATTTCTTCCGCATGGAAGCCGTAAATCTTAAAAGCAGGAAGCGGGTTGAGAATACAAGGGTAGATATGTTGCCCCGTTTGTCACTAGGGGCTGGTCTAGGAAGAGTCGCGTTTTACTTGCTGTAAAGTATGTCGGAGGAGGGGAGCAGCAACCATCACGCTATTAAAAGTCCCCGAGACGACACTTAGGCCTTCTCCAAACAATTGCCCGGTTATTTTAAGCTCGAGAAAAATTGGGACATTTTATTTTGGGAGGGGGAGGCGGACGAGTCCCTTTAGCACTTTATGGGATTCTTATAAGTTTTCCAGCATATGGGACAAGGGACGACTTCCTACTAGATCGTTCCCAGTGTCCTTGAACAAAATATTCTTGAGGCACCGAGAAACGGGAAAGGGAGAAAACTGAACTGCTCATCCCGTTTTGGCTACCCGGTCCTGAGAATTTGCATCCTGTACTCGCGTCCAGCCAGCCCATTTCTACCCTTTCAGGAGTTATCATACAAATATTTCCAGGGCTGTCAGTCGATTAGAGGCTTTTCAGTGTGCGAGTGGCCTACCTTTTAACCGAATAATCGATGGCTACCTAAGTTGTCATGAGATCATTTGCCCTGTTATGAAAGTAAAGGAAGGTGCCTTTGGGGAGATGCTGAACCAAAATCACTTGCAATGGAAGCTACGGCTCTTTGTAGACCGCCAGACCCTCTGGAATATTTTCTATATTTTATGACCATAACAATCAAAGGGCTGGGGATATTATAAGCATTACGGATGGCTGATTAATCAAGGGCATACGTAGCTGATTAATCTGCCGTTCCAAGCTTGCACAAGTACATGAAATTTAAGGTTGTAGGTTGTTCTACGACGCTCCCACTTCCCACTTGGGAAGAGTCTAACCATTGATCTCCCCTCTAGTTTGCCCTTTGAGTGAATGGGAACAGAAATATTTTGGCTTGACTTGGCTCTGGGTGGAGAGCTATGGGACTTATGCGGGGAGGCGATGGGGCGGAGAGAAATCCCAACTATTGTTGGAAACCCCTGAGCACTGTACTCTGGTTCATCAGCGACAAGGGTGGAGCATCTTGAATTTAGGTATGCTGAGATGTCATTTAAGGTGAGTGTGTTTGCGCAGAAGCAAAGGGAAGCACAGAACGTGAGAACTGAAGGGCAGTAGGTTCAGGGCAGTAGAAACATGCTCTTCATCCAATGCTAGAGTCTGGAATTCATGTTGGAGTTTGGAATTAAGAGCCATACAAGCTCCTCCCCTGCTCCGATTCATTTGTAGCCCCTCATTCTGCCGAGTGAGGCCCTCGACTTACAAAATTGAGGACCACAAGATTGGGGGGGGCAGGTCAATGCCTATTGACTGGAGCAGCGATAGGGCCACGGACATCTGAGGACCTGTTGTTGGGAACACTGAGCAACCCTCAGTTTTGATACCCTGCTTCTGATGTCCCGGCTAAGGCCTGGATTAGATGGACAGCTGAGTCTTATTTGGCAAGCCATACGGGGAAAGCTAAAGGTTGGTGGAAGAGCACGTGCAGAAGGTCGTAGGTTCAATCCCTGGTATTTCCAGGTGGGTCTGGCTAGACCTCTGTTTGAAACCGTGGACAGATGCTGCCAACCAGTGTTGGCAATATTGGACTGATGGTTAAAATTGGTATAAGCTGTATTCCCATGACCGTTCATAGGTTATAAGGGGCTCAATCTAGTCGGAGTCTGCACCACCTCACCCAGCATGGCGTTGGATTTATTCCGAATTCTTATTTATATGGGGAATATACACGCAGGGGTTGCAAAACTTTTCAGAAGTAGGAGATCGATTTTCTATTCTTACTTTCTTTCCTTCCCATCCCCCAACAACCCCCCTCCCCCAATTCGCCGAGTTGTTTGAAAAAAAGCTGTCAAACCCCATTAGAACATCGTCCTTTGAGTGGCAGACCCCAAATGCTTTGAAAAGCTTAAAGGGTTAGGGAGAGAGAGAAGGGGGGAGGGGTGCCTCGTCTATTTAAAACGAAAGTGATATCCTCCCCCTTTAAAGATGCTGTGGATAATCTAGAACAGGTTGTGTCTGTGATCCAGGGATGAAGGGCCGAAGAAGCCGCGCGTTTTCATCTCCAAAGCGAGGGAACTCCACTATCCTGGAAGTCTGATTTTTTTTAAAAAAAATGTGTTATTGTCTACGGCGACTAAATCATTGCATACATACGTTCGCAAGTAAAGTGACTTTTAGGTTTACGAGACACACACAGAGAGAGCACAATTGACCAGGGAACTAACTATATCGTAAGCAATCAAAATTCGCTTAATGAACCTCATTAATTGTTGACCATTAGATATTTCCAGAAAACGGAGGAAGGAACTGAAACACTTAAAGGATCGCTGATCCCTCTTGCAGCATCACAACGTAAAATGAAATATTTAGTTATTTACCATCATCCAAAAAACAAACACTCCCAACTTTACCCCAAGCAACTAACTAAGTTATTGTCCCACTGGTTCTAAAGAGGTTCACTCTGGCATTGAAATCATTGGAAGCTAAAAAATTTGCTTAACTCTAGGTTGGATGGTGAGCAACAACAAAGAGGAAGCATATTTAAGCTTCGGTTCAACAAGCGAGAGCTAAGTGCAGTGTTGTACCCACTTCCCTAGGAGCTAACCCTACTGAACTCAATTGGGATTACTTCTGAGTAGACACAGAGTCGCACCACCCAATAATAATAATAATAATAATAATAATAATAATAATAATAATAATATATTATTTGTACCCCGCCCATCTGGCTGGGTTTCCCCAGCCACTCTGGGCGGCTTCCATAGAAACCAAGAATACACTAAAATATCACACATTAAAAACTTCCCTGAACAGGGCTGCCTTAAGATGCCTTCTGAATGTCAGGTAGTTGTTTATCGCTTTGACATCTGATGGGAGGGCGTTCCACAGGGCGGGCGCCACTACCGAGAAGGCCCTCTGCCCGGTTCCCGAGGCTTCTCTGAAATCTCTGGGACCTTTAAAGGGAATTAACTGGATCCAAAAACAATGGATCCCATTGCAACCACCACCACAACAACCATTACAATTTAGCCAGCATTAAGCACCCTTAAAGGCTGTTGGTTTCTTGAATTCGAAATCTTTCTCGTTGGAATCCATAAGTCCTTGGAAGGGCTGTGCCTGTTTACTCATAAGTATACCTCGCTGGACCAATGGGGCTCACTCCCAGGAAAGTGTGCATAGGACAGGATTGAAGTCTGACTTGGTCCTGACCATGATGATGAGCACCTGGCAAAATATCCCACCGGATTGGTGTAACGTGACTTGGATGTATATATCTGCACCATGTCGTGTTAGCTTTAACAGAGAAGGACACCCAGGTGAACTTTTCCTCGTGGCCTCAGGGTGCTGCCTACCCCTTGGCGTGAGAGGCCTCGGCAAACCCCGAGTCCTCGGAGGAGACCTGGAGCAGGACTGTTAAGAAGACCGACTAGCCAACCCCATAGAGCGCATTTGCGGACATAAACAACTCTGTTTTTCTAAGTTGGGTGGTGGTGGGGAAAGCATTTCTCTTCATCTGGAGCTGCTGATTATGCAGTCGTCACTGGGAAAAGGAAGTCGTCAAACTCGCCAACCATTAGCTCTGTAGAGGTGACTTTAAGAACACTCCTTTCCAAATGAGACAGAGATGTTGCGGTGGTTGGTTGAAAAGTAAGTTCGTTCTTTTCTTTCTTCCCCAAGAGTGGAAATATTTGAAGTTTTGAGATCTGAAAGATGGCATGCATTGCCAATATGCCACACACACACACACACACAC